AGAGTTCATTTTTGACAAGTGTGACATTGGAATTGGCATCAGAGGGAAAAAAATTTTATTTTATTTCAATGTCAAATGTTTTTGTTTTATGACTGAAGAGAATGAATAAGTGAAAGAAAGCATTTAGGGTCAAGTGACAACAAACTGAATATTGTTTTCCAATTGCTGGTCTATATTAAAAGTCAAGCAATAAAATCAGTTCTGCTCCACTTTTGGTGGTGGGCAGACACTGTCCTTCATATAATTCTGATGTCACTCGTTCGTATAGCCTGCCACACAAGATAGATGAGCAGAGTTTGGTGGGGAGAACTAAGCTGTCAGTCTGATATTAGAGGCATGATCCCAAGTGTCACTTGCCTAAAGACAATAAGGGAAACAGGGTTCATGCTACCATTTCTCAACATAGCATAAGTTTTTATCTTAGATACCTTGTCAACATGCCATGAGACTTTCACAGTTTTCAATGTGAACAAGAATCAAACATCATATCACAGGTGGAAATGGTTGGCAAGTTTGGTGTTGTACACATTTGTGCATAGGAATTTGACATCTAAACGAGCCATGAGTTTATCCATCATATTTATTCCCTTTTTTTTTTTTTTCAACCAGGTTGCTTAAACATTTTAATATGTGATGGACTAAGTGATCCAAGTAGTGGTGTTAAAATTTCTACTATGGTTTTCACTATTCTAGATAGGATGGATTAAATTGGAAGACCTGCTTTATGGCCAACCTTCAAAATACACAAAGTCTCAATATTCTATTTAGGCCATGATTTGGCCTACTTATCAACTAATTTTAAGACAAGTCATGGTCTAAATTAATAGATTACCCAGACTTTACGGTCTATCCAAATCAAAGTAGGCATTCTAATGCAATCATATATATATTAGATAATATGAACATAGACAGTCAGTATACTGTGTTGATTCCTACCATTAAAGTGCCCAAAGCATTTTAGCCTTAAACAAAAGAAACTAGCAATGTCAGCCTGCAAATACGAAAAGACAAAAAGCAGTATTGATCCTCACAAAATTTGTTCCCAACTGACTACAGAATTGATGATGTCAGTTTTCCATACAACAAAGAATAACAAAGTTACCAGGCTTAGTCTGGCATAGGGACACAAATCATGAGGCATCAAAAGGCTCTGGGGGTAAATAATGATCAGAAAAGGAATTTTTCTCACAATATGCTGTGAGTGATATGTTTATTCAACTTATGGCTTTATAAGGAGGAATTCTAAAAAGAACAGTTTTGAAATAAAAGATCTATGACAAATTGGAAAAAGTTTTTGACGTGTTTCATCCTAATGGATGAAATGCATTGCAAAAACTTTTTTTCCAATTAGTCATATATATATATATATATATATATATATATATATATACACACACACACACAAAGTAAAATTAAATCAACAAAAAAAATCTAAATAAGTAAACAAATAAAGTCAATAAACATTAAACTCCAAATACATATAATAATAATAATAATAATAATAATAATAAACAATAATAAAGCAAGCAATAATGAATTGCAGAGTAAAAAAAAAAAAAGGTTAACAACTATAAAATGGCTACAAATAACAGCATTCAGATCCACAATTATTACTTCTCTGAATAATTTAAAACCTAGTCATTACCACCCACCCAATAACTGTTAGGATAATACGATAGACCTTCTACCCATGAAGCACCATTGACAAGCATATATAAATAATAAAACCAAAATAAAACACACCTGGCCTGAAGATTGTTTTTAGCATGAAACAGACTGTCACCACTTGGTGTTGACCTCAGTGTCCACTTTATATTTTAAAAAAGATATGAATGTTGACCAGAACACTACCGTGGTTTTTGCTCAGCAAATCAATCTACTTAAGTACTTTGTTGTTGAGCTCCATTTGACTGATTTGCTGAATAAACCACCTGACAAGACCGTAGTGGACAAAACTGCAGTAGTGTTCATATCTTTTTTTACTCTGCAAGTCTGGTCTTCCAACTTGATATTGAGCACTTTTAAATATTTCACAGTTTGTTTACTCTGGCATATATATATATATATATATATATATATATATATATATATATATTATGTGGTACAGTTTAATTTATATTACAATGAATCATTCATAGAAAAAGTAAATTAATAAAGTTAATGAACTTTACTGATTTACTTTTTCTATAAATGATTCATTATATATATATATATATATATATATATATATATATATATATAGAGGAAGGAAGAAGTCCAAAAATGCTCCACCAAAAAATTGCTTTTCTTCCAGATGCAAATTCTTCAAACATTTCTAAATAATTAGGGGGGCGTAAAAATTTACATAGATTAACAAAACTATATATCCATTTAAATTAGCCCCAATATTTGAAAATAAAATAAACAAAAATCTTTTAGATTCTTAAAAAAAAAAAAAAAAGTAGATATCATTGACATTAACAAAGTTTTAAACAACATTAATGAAATTGCTCATTTTTCACAATGAGTCACAAATCAATTTTGCACTATATATCTATTATAAAGAGGGTCTCCTCAACCCTTCTAAATTGATAACTAATCAATATTTTTTATTCTGACAAGTGTTGTAGCCTAAGAAAGGTGCAAAGAATGTAAAACCTTAAAACTTATTTCAGAAAAATATTTTTCCATAAATCTGAACCTAATGCTAATTTGTGAAAATTTAACTCAATGTTATTTGTTACATTCAATCCCAATTGTATAAAACTTTCAACATCTCCCAAAATTATATTCATTTTCTTCATCTAATCACTACTATTTATTATCACCACGCCTATGTCAGATTTAGTAATGACAATTGATTTATCATGACATAATGATTTAAGAACACAAAAATGTGTTGAAGTTGCCAATTAAATTCAACACTATCAACCTACTAAGTGTAGGCCAGATTGTTGAGTTTGATCTTAAATGCACTGAGGGGGAAAGCTTAGATACCTGGGCAAAGAGCACCTCAAACTCTGCAAAAATCCAAAATTAACTCACCTGGAGAATTCAAGTATTCCTCACAAGATCCAAGAATTACATTTCTGTCCCTATCAGTACAAACAAATATACCTGGAAAAGAGAAAAAAAAAAAATGATTACTTTCATGTGAGATTTTTTTTTTGTAAAATTTTTTATTCTTTGAGAATAAGAAATTTTAGTTAGAATTCTGGAAGTTTCTGCCTTCTTTTTATATTTGTGAATTCAGATGGAAGATTTTTCAAAGAATCTTTTATCTTTTAACCAAATTTTCTGTTACAATTAGAATGAATCTGCTCCACATCTTGTCTATCCAAGTCCTCTTTAATATTAATTATATCAACTTGTCATCAGAAGAACAACTCAAAGTTGGAGTTTTTTTTCCCCTCTGAAAAAGTGTTATCACCAAAGACATGTCACCATTTTGTGTTTTTAATCACTAAATAATGGTTAGGTCAAAAATTACTTTCTAGTTCTTGTACTATGTAACCCAATGCAACACGTGGAAGAGAGAAAAAGAGGCACCACCTAGTAACTCCTATTAGCCTTGAGAAATGCTATGAAGCCCACAGCAAGGCATGCCAATGATTTTTTCTGTCATGAATAAAAAACTTTCTCTGACTTTCCGTTTTATTAAATAGTTATAACTTCATCTTTAAATTGTTCAATTTAAATGTTCACTTGTGGCTTGAGCAATCTTTTATTTATTTTTCTATTCATTATAATATAACATTAAAACAATTTACATTAGCAGATTTTGAAAAAGGTGCAATTTGTACTGATTATCTCCCTTGTTTAAGCATGTCAGATTCATGCAAAGCTAGGTGTTAAAGGCACTGAAATTTTAATGTTCACTTTATTCATTTACAAGTGTGCATTCTGTTTTGTATTTAATAAAATTTATTAGCTTTTTTTCTTTTCTTTTTTTTACAAGATACTGTATTTACCTTCACATAAGATACTTTTTTATTTAATACACCTCCCCACCAAAACTGTTCTATGCCTCATACAGCCATATTATGGATGGGAGACAAGCGAGTGTTGTAGCAGTAGGCTAAGACGTCAGACGAGCAAGAGTCCAATAGGCATAAACATTGTTACTAGTAATGAAATATTGAAATATCAGTTTCTATTAGAATGCATTAAGTTTTTTTTTCCCCTGTTACTTGTTGCATACTACTGGCATTCAGTTTATATACATCAGGTTTCTTTGTTCATATATCCCAGTATTTCTTTTCTGCTTTGGCAAATTTAGTTTCCTTTGAAAGTTAAAGTTATAATATAGGATTTCATAATTTATTCCAGTCTATTGTTACAATATTATATTTACAGGCACAGAATCATACATTTTCTTCTACAAAACCACTTTAAAATACATTTAAAAAATATATAAAACATACTAAAATGTTTTCTCCACAAAATATCCTTGTAAAATTGGGATGTGGGGGGTGTTTTATACAAAGGTAAATACAGCACTCCTAACAGTCAAATCAGTAACAGTATTGCATGTCACATTGGTATAAGTATAAAATCCAACTTATATATCAAATCATAAATAGTAGAATAGTTTCCATTTCACAATTCTATTTGTCATATTAAAAATCATATCACCATCAAACTACTGCAATCAGCTATTAAAATTGTTTTCTTTCCAAGCGAATACATTTATGCTTATTTCTATACAAGTTCATGTTCCTCAGAGTTTTTAAGAAATCTATAGATTCTCCATTTAAAAGAGAACGCATTAATAATTATTCAAATCAATAAAACAAAAAACTGGAAAAATATCAAGAACGGATTGATCTTCACTTGTTAACAATTGAAAAGATTATCGTTTTTGTTTTACTTTAAAGCATTGAACATTAGCGCTACATCTGATTTCTCAAGGTTTCATAAAAACAATAATTTTAAGGAACCAAGTTTATAGAACGGAAATCATTCCTTTGAATACTTGCTTCTATATAATATTAAAATCAACACTTTTCTAACTAATGCCTTACGGCCAAATCACATTGAAACACCAGTTTGCATCCAATCACCAAAGTTAAGCAACATCAAGTCTTGTCAGTATCTAGATGGGTGACTGCTTGGGAACACCAGGTGCTGTAAGTTTAGATGTGTAGGTGGTGTAATGAGTAACGGATCAAAATGAGAGCCAAGTTTGAATTCCAGTTGAGTTCATTACCTTCACTTATGTGCAAATACTTTTGGGAAAGATATGAATCAACCATTTCTCCCTCTCAGCTATAGGTTAAATAGTAGGACTCAGATCTGAAAATCATTATTATCTCCCCAACAATTGTTAATATTTACTCAAAAAAAAAAAAAAAAATCTAATAAGTTTCAGCTTTAAATAACCTACAAAAAGTTGATAAACCATAAAATACAAATCAATCAATTCTTTGAAAAATCTATATATGAAGTTGCTTTCAGCTTACAGACTTTCCAGAGGGCCTACGTGTTCCAGTCATTACATACATGGTCTGATATGCTGGATTTTGTTGTTTCACTGCATAACAATTATGCTATGTTAATCATTTGAAAAACCAAGCAAAACTAAATTCTTCATTCTTTCCTTGCAGTTTTCATTTTCAATTCCAGTTGTAGTTGGGAGAGATTTTGCTATTAAATAAATAGCTATGTATATAAAGATACATGTTACTCTTAAGGATGAAAGCCACTGAATTAATTCCTTTCTTAGAGGAAATCTTTTTTCTGTGACACTATTTAGCTATGGTAATTAATTAACTAATTAGCCATAAAAATTGAACAGAAAAGAACGGTTAAGAGATATCCTGAAGGATATACTGATCAACATAAAATTTTATTTTTTTCAAAAAGTCTATTCTTCTCAAGAAACCAAAGAATTGCGTCAAAGATAATTTTATGAAAAGGCAATGTGGTGATCTCTGACGATTGATGATGGTCGTTAAAAGTGCTGGTTAAGAAAACACAAAATAACCAGAATTGATGAATATGCAATCTATCGTTCAAGAGTGCATAGATATTGTGTAAACAGGTAATATAACTGAGGAAATGGCCAAATGAGAGGGCCATATATTAATTGTAGGAATTTTGGCAGGGTGCAAAAAGGATTTGTGTAAACAAAGTTCCAGTTGATAATTCTAAACTGCTCATGATTTCAGATCAGGATAAGAAATCCGGAATAAGCAGTGGTGTCAAAGGGTTAATTAATGAAGCAAACTTCAGCACAACAGAGACGCCATTGGTCATGTGGTAAGAGGTGGAGGTAAGATAGTAAGAGAGACGGAGAAGTTACTAACACCCACCAAAATGAATTGGTGTGAGGTACCAATGTGAGGAGGTAGGAGTTTAGGAGAATAGCTATCCTGTAACCTCTTCTCATGAACAAAAGGATCCCCCTAGAAATAAGAAGTAATTAATTTTCCAAAAATGGGAAGTAATTAATTTTCCTGGCCAGACAACAAAGCAACCCTTGTTGGAAACTGGGAATTCACCAAAAACCCCAGGCTGCATCTAACCCCACACCGGGTTTTGGTTGAAGTCCATGTAAACGAGTGACCTCAGTTCTCTAGTCAGCAGTAAGAGTAGTCGCAAGCAGGAGCCAGAGAGTTGCCGCACAGAGCTGACCGAGAGATTCCATGATTCCTGCCAACATGAGAACCTTTCTATAAACAGCAAGCTATACTGACGAACGAAGCTAAGCCAGTGCCTAAAAACTAAACCAGATGACTTAGAAGACCAGAACTTGCCTAGAAGTATAAAAGTGTCACTCTCAGAAGAAACGGGTTGGGAAGAATACACACTCCTGTATAGAACAGACTGATAAAAGATGATTTGCTTTCTTTAAACATGCCCAAACCTTTTTGGTTTCCATTTATTTCTTTTCGCTTGTGCAACGTCACCCCCAGTTTAGACTCACCTTGCACGATGGCCTGAGTGTCTGATTGATCTCGTCTACCTAAGATCAAAATCACAACATGGGTAGGTTAGACTTGAGATCGAAGTAGTTACTTCGGTAACCAGTCATTGGAAGTGAGCTGAGAGCGACGAAACTGGTGTCGAACCGGTTGCATTTGGTATGAAGCTGTTACATATTTGTGCCGTTAGAATCGACCGACCATTCCATTTGGTACCCTGACCAAAGGATCCTGCTGGGTAGCGACGACTGCCGATCGACTGTCACATATTGGTGGCAGTGACTAAGAGTCAATCCCAGAATGTCCCAGTAGGTTTCACATTTCCAAAGTGCAATGATTCACAATCTGTAACAGAATTAATGTGACAAACTATTTTCATTCAATTTTTTTTAAAGAAAATTATCACAATCCTTTCTGTTGCTTTCCATTAGGAAATTTTATGACTGATAAATTCTTTAGACCTTCAAATTACATTTGAATCTAAAATGCACACACATATGGTACAATGGGACTTGGCAGCGATCAGGATACCCACAAAGTCAAATGGGCTCTAAATGATTTCATTTTAAAGATTTGGTGCTTCATGACCAAGAATAAAGTTAGATTTCAAGACTTCAAAATAACTGTCCATGGTGCGCAAACAGGGAGAAGGGAAATGAATCAAATAAACAAAAACTTTCAGGATCACATTTCACACAATCGGAAGGTAAGGATGTCCAGTTATCGGCTTATATAGGCAAAATAATAGTTGAAGTAAGTCAATTACTGGCTATTCAGTGGGAGGGTAGACAGGCAGAAAGAATCTGTCTTTGTGTGATGAGACATCAGCCAGAAATAGGTCAAAGTCACAGAGGCAATCAGAATGTAGAAAGAGTTGCAGCCCGAGTTCTTGCTGGCCAAAGGGGAAATCTGGTCTGTTAGTGTGTCAGAAAAGACAGAAGAAATAGCAAAGATGTCCCAAGTGTCACCTACCTACCTCAACCCCCAGGCTGTGCTAAGAGAATCCATGAATAAAACAGCTCAATATATTGAAAAAAAGGGTTTGCATTTTCATTTCTCACTATGGGATTATTTAATCTTACATTTCCTTGTAGACCACAGCTGTTTGAGGTTTCCTACAGACCCACTGAACTTAAATAAAGTCAATTCAGGTTTCCTATGGTAAAAATTTTCTTTCCCAAGTGAAAATCATCACAAAAATAGCAAAAGTCATTTTGTCACAGCTTATTTTCTCTCAAAATATGGGTTTTCATAATTTTATAGGGGGTAAAATATTGAAAAATGACTGTTTTATCATCACCTAAACGAATATCAAGGAAACTTTTGATCTGAACCCCATGAAACTAGGTATTTTCTGAAAGCAAAAGATATATTCTTTCATTTAAAAGTAAAATTAGCTGGTGTAAATGACTCAAAATTTTTTTCAGTGGGTAAAATGTGAAAAAATAGTGAAAATTTTGCATTTTTTTCTTGTTCTAAACAAATATTTCCCCCATTAATGGGAAATTAACCATTTTTTTTTTTTTTTTGAAAATCAGAAAGCCTAGATCATAATCAAACTATTTCAGGCATAAAATTGAGAGTTTTGAAGGAAATCAACATTCCTAGGGGTTCAAAAAATGCGACAAAATCCATTGTTAATTTTCAATTATGACTGCCAAGGGTTAAAAAAATTGACACCTGGCCACGGAAATCTTTTAGTAAAAGGCAAGAGATTTATCTGCAATTCCTAACCACCAGAAACCAAAAGTTGTTTTTTTTTTTCCTAAAATAGTGATAAGGGAAAATAAACCTAATTGACTTTGACGTCTAGGTCAAAGGCCAGCCAGCCAGCCAGCTAGCAATAAACGGACGGCAAACCTTAGAACAAGTTGTAATAAAAACCCACCACTCCCAGATAAAAGCAAAGGGTGAATAAAAAGGGTTCACAATTACTAGGGCTTCATATAACCTATGTTTGAACAATGGCTTGATAAGTTTTCTTTTTGTTTTTAACACCCGTGACCCGGTGATGACAACAACACTTAGCAGCCGACATTGTTTTTTTTTCGCCGCATATCTTTTGTATTTCCCATCGCCGGTCCATTTAGCCTTTCTTTTTATTCAATGATGTTCATGCCAAATGAAAGAGAAAGGAATGAATTTTGAATGATGTTATTTTGAAGCGAAAATGAATATTTTTTCATTAAAAAAAGGGGATTTTTCTCAGAAAATTGTGCATAATTTCTTAATGCTAACCGCCGAGTGACATTTTCCACAGCCAAATCGAAGATTAATTACCAGTGAATAATTCCATGTGCAAAAAATAGCCGTCTGGATCCTATAAGGTCGCCCTAAAAGGTCCAGAAGTTTACTAATTGATCGAAAACCTGTTGCACATAATTTTTCACGGTCAGTTTCCATTATTTCATCTTGATATTATCATTTTCGGACAGCCAAGTCATCAAGGATTCAGGAAAACACTTTGACATAGGTTTTCTTTAAGAACTTTACATTCTATGAGGTGTTTAAAATGTTACTGACGAATGAGATTTTTTGCCGCATATTTCGTTTACGCGCCATGTTGGATTTTCCTATATGACAAAAACAAGGGTTTTAAACAGCTGTGAGACAGACACAGGGTCTTTTGTAGTTTTTGTTAATTCCAATAAAAATGAGAATTAAAACACAACATTGTGTTATTTGCTTAATTGGTATGAAGGTCCCGGTAATAGGTTTCCTCATGAATTTTGAACACAATTCTGCTTTAGACAATACTTAAACCGATACCTCTCCGACCATTGAAGCAATGCCCATATCCTGGTTATCAAGAGTTGAGCAGAATTCTCATCTCCAAAATCCTGAGCTTATCACAAATTTTTCTTTCAACATTAATATTGTTAATTTGAAAAAAACTATTGATTATGTGAACTTGTGAAATAAAAAATCTAAATATCAATTGTAAAAGGTGTGTGAGGAGGGGGGGGACAGAAAAAGATGAAAATGTCTACCAATGAAAAGAAAAATAAATCCAAAAATCCTAAGAGGCAAGATTAAAAAAAAAAAAATTGTTCCTAAATAGAAACCATCTATACATAAAGAGTAGTTGTCTGTGTCCAACTAAAACTAAAAAAAACTACAATATTTTATGACAAATATGTATACAAACTCGTTATCACCTAAATCAGCATTTTGTAAAAAATTATTTTTCATAAGATGGCTGAAAAATATCAATAAATTGTCAATACTAAACTATTATTCAGAGATCTTCCAAGTAACGCTGGGTATCCCTGCAGGTTCTTACCTATGAGTGTCCTTCCATCACTCATTTTGATTTTCATACTTTTGTTTAACCATTTCTCAAGTTTTCTTCTTCCATCTGCAGCCACATCCTGTTCACTGGATTCCTTGGAATCTGGATCCTAAAGAAAGAAAAAAAAAATCAATTATCTTGGTTTCTTACTTGGCTTCTAAAAATGAAGGCAATGATCATCTATTATTGAATAGGAGTTATTTCCCTTAAAAATCATAACTTTTATATCGGTTGGGAAACTGTGTTGATTAACAAGCTTACAAATGCAAGAGGAACCTTCACTTCACTTTACTAATATACAATTGGCTTGCTTACACCTGGGTGGAGAATTGAATGGTTGCTTATGTCATTACCAATTGCTAGCATCTTACTTGGTAATGGCTCTGTATGCAACAGTTTTAAATGTATGTATATAAACATTATCAATATAAACATTATAAATGTATGTATATAAACATTATCAATATAAACATTATCAATGTATGTATATAAACATTATCAATGTTACATGTTATACATTATCACAGTCACTAGTCCCATAAACCATAAAAGTACCACATGTACTGTTGCCACAGAAGAAGTGGCATGTCTTGGGCAAGATAGCCTGATGGAACCCAACCCTCTCCAAGCTGATTTGAATTCAGTTTTCCTTCTTCTAGACTGGTTGCCATCTATGGCTATAGAACTCAGTCTGTCCTACTATTTACCCATAGCTAGGGGGAGAAAAGATGGATTCATACCTTTCCCAAGGGTATTAGCATGTAAGTGAATGTAATGAACTCAAACTTGGCTCCCCAATTCCTCAATCAGAAACACTATCCATTACTCCACCATGCTTTCGTTATACATTATACATGTTCCAAAACCGGGACTAATAGTGGAGAAGAGCTCCTGTAACATATGTCTCAAATAGCTTCTGACAACACAAGCCAGAGAATGGGTGAAGACAGAAAACTGGTGTCTTATAACCAATTGCTTTGGGTAGATGGAGCTTGACAGCCCAGGAAGACAGTGTATCTAGGGGAAGAAAAATCCTGATTTTAAACCTCTACAGCCTTGCAGACATACCCAAAAAACAGAAAAGGCTATGGAAGTAAATTCAGCTAGAAAAGCTGGAGGAGCCTATTAGGATTGATACAACTGTTAATTTACAAAAGAAAAAAAATCGTTCAGTTTTCTATCTTTATTTTTTATTTTTTTTGTTATTAATGAAAATAAATATCTTATTGTTTAAAGTGATGTACATATATGAATTTTACTATGAAAATATAAAGATGTTGAATTATCTCCCCTACAACGACAAGAGCAATTTTAATTCAGTTTTTCATCACAATTCTTTTTCAAAATGATTTTTTTGAGCATCACTAGACAAGTGTTATTACACTATTATCTTAAGACTTCTATTCTATCAATTGATAAGGTTTTCAAAAAAGAAAAAGACTTCACCGAAACTAAAGGAAGTCATTTTGATATGAGGTAGGCTTTTAATGTTTAAAGCCTTCAGTCAGTGCAATTCTTTTGAGTTTTATTTCCCTGAAATCCTGGATAATTTCAAATAAGACAAATCCTGAAGATAAGTATGTGCTTTGAAAATAACCACATTATCCTATTTTCATTGGTATTGGGAATAATTTCAAACAATCCCAGTACAAATGTTGTTGCCATCCAGTTCTCCATTCACAATGAACATCAAACAACATAAAAATTTGATAATAGAAGTTTTGAGAAAATTAAATTTATTTGTAAGAACAAATAATTTTTTTTACTCTTGAGGAAAATCTGATATTTAAATAATGGATATCTATACTGACTTATCTCCTAAGATTCACTAAAAAATGAAAAAAAAAAAGGTCCAAAACTTAAAAACAAAGTTTTATCATCAAAATCTTTGTTATTATCAAGAGGAAAGACCAAAGGATGTTTTGAAATAAAAAAAAATTATTTTTTAAAAATCTTTTGCTCCCCACCACTACTCTCTTGACTCAGTGAGGGTGAGTAGCATATGCGATGTGGCACAGTTGTCATGGGAGACAGATGCCAGGGGACTACCCATTTTCAGAACTCTGAGGTGACTAATGCAGGGTTAAATTGCAATGGGAAGGTGTGATCATAAAGAAAGATCTTCAGTGCCCAGGCAAATTTATATTAAACAAAACTATGCCAGTTTTCCCAGTAAGACAAATGAGTTAGAATGTTTACAAACAGTTTAAATCATGGGCTCGGATTGATGAGACTATCTAGGAAGCTGATAAATACTTGGAGAGATTGGAGGGAGAGGTAATTTAATGAATATATCATGGTGACTTACAACTAAAACTCATTAATTTCCTTAAGGTCATAAGGATTGTTGTTCTTCGGAGACTTTATCTGTTAAAACATAATTTAAGAAAATGATGGGTGAGCCCCTCTTTTATATAATTTTTAAGTACTCAATAATCTTAAAAATGTTGGAAAATATTCTCTGTAATCTAATTTTAGGAATGTTGACTTTAAATTTACTAAAATCATCACTCTTATTTTCTGATAATGTTGTGTATGGTCAACTATACTTTCAAAAACGGATACGTTACATAATATTTTATACACATAAAAAAAAATTATTCAAAAAATCTTGGTGCAAAATGATTTGTATTAAGTTTTTAAATTTTTTGATTAGTAAATATAATCAGACTAAACTAATATAGAATTTTAGGATCAAAAATTTAAAAATGAAAGCAATTCTTGTAAAAATTCATTATTCATCGAAAAAAAAATTTTTTTCAAAAGACAACAGTGTCCTTAATAAATCTTACTTAAAAGCAATTAAGTTTTTCTAATAATATCAGTTTTATTGCATTTTTTATTTTACGATTCAGAGCAGGTTTTCGGGTAATAAGTAGTAGTTTGAAAAGAAAATATTAATAATTTACATTCTCCAAGGATTCCTGCATTTAACTAATTACTAATAAAAAAAATTTTAGGGTAAAAATTTAATTTCTCGAAATTTCATGAAATTAAGTAAGTGGGAGGTAACATATGTAAAGTAAAAAAATATTTTAGCAAGATTTACTAAAACAAAAAAATTCAAAAACAATTTCATTCATTTGTGATATAAGTCCTGAAGGTTTCATTAAAATCCCACAATTATTTGATTTTTTGCAAGAATGCCCACCGGAAAAAAAAAACGCTAAAAAACACGACTAATCGTGTCGACCGCTGATGTAAATAATATATATATATATATATATATATATATATATAACCAAAATTTCGAACGTGCAAGAAAGAAAAACATTAATAAAATAACTAAAAAATACTTTGGTCTTTCCTCTTAATAACTGTTAAGATTGAAACAATTTTAGACGATAAAACTTTGTTTTATTAAGTTTGGGGCCTTTCTTCATCGTGCTATATCCCGATTTTTTTTTTTCAGATAAAAAAAAAAAGTGGAGGTACCTGTAGTGTATTTGAAACTAAGATCGGACGACGACGATGCTGTCTGTTCTACACTGAAAAGTGAAAACTAAATTCGATTTTCCAAACAAAGATTATTTACATTTCCAGAACTAATAAAAGCTGCTCAAGTGATTTTCATAAGTTTTTGGTTTGGGAGTACGAGTGAGAAGAGCTTTTTACCGACCACGAGTTATTTTCATCTAATGGTGCCAACAACAACGGTGCCATCAATTTGTAGTGATACTTTTTTTAGTATAAAAAAAAATGTAAAAAACTTCAGTTGAAACTATAAATTAACCGAATTGAAAAAAATGTATTGCCTAAGTTTGTTAAAGTTGGTGTCTATAGTCAGTTCGTAATTGACCTCTAGCAGTCATTAAATTAAAAAAGTAATATTGATATTTTTTACATGTCTGGAGTTCGATGAGGATCAAAGATTCTATGATGAATGAAAGTGTCGACAGTCTAAAAGATTTGGGGGACCCTTGGTTATGATAAACAAAGCAGTGAATTAACTAAGAATAAAAAGAAATAGACATCAACAAAAAAAAAAAAAAAAAGAGGGACAATTTACATTTCTAATGAGTTTTAGTCTCCTTAATTCAAATAATAGTAAAGAAGGATGTCAAAGTTTGTTTTCAGACATAACACTTACCTCAAATAGAGAAAAAAAAAATACAAGTATAACGTTCTATCAACAAAAGAGAAAAAATGCCCAATTAATCATTATGACTGTTTTCAATCATTCAGGGAAGATATCAGAAATCAGTAAGCAATAGTTTAAAACTAAAATTTACGACTTTTTTTTCTAAAGGTCACCCAAATATTTTAATATCTTTATAAATAAGTTTCCTTTAATGAAAGCATTGTATATTCAAAAATGAAACAGAATCGTCCGAGAAATTTGTTTTCGGTTGATAGACATTTATTACGCTTCTTAACAATTTTTTTTTTCTATTTTACAACTTCATATTAATAATTCGTATTCAAAGTTCATACAAATTTTAAAACTCATTGTAAATGAATTATTATAAACCTAATAGACAATAATTTATTGATAAAAAAGAAAAACAAGGTGTAACATTAAAACTCACCACTACTTCACCCGCCATATTGGGTTTTGATTCAATGAATTTGGAAGCCAAACAATTTATTCGTATTTAAAACCCATAAAGTTGATTTTCTACAAAAAAAAAAAACGTTTAAAACACTTATTATTCAATAAAATTAATTTCAAAATTATTTTTAAATATTTTTATTTCATTTCTAAAATGTTGTTTATTGTCGCACTTTTTATCGAATTGTCTGTTGCTAATAGCAACGGTGTTTTGCATAAAAGTTTTGTTGACATTGTTTTTCTTTCTTTCTTTTCCTTTGGCGAAAGTTTTGAAATTAATAAATTTGTCTTCGAGGAAATGGTATCAAGAAAGTATTTTACACCGAGAGAAGTTTCCTTTCACAATACAGAAAGCGATCTGTGGGTTTCGTTTTTGGGTAAAGTTCACGATTTGACCAAACTCTGTGAACGTGAAAAAGGTAACGTTTTATTTACTTCTTTTTAGTCTGGCACAGGGATACAATAATAGATCACTCTAAGCAGCGAACTCAATTCACTGACAAGAGAGTGCTAACTATATTCTTAAATTATGTAGCAATAAGTTTAAAATAATTTTTTAAATTCAAAATGCGAACTCATTATCATTAGTAAGGAATAATTCAATTTTGATATTCCGAACCAAATACTTTTTTCAACTGATATGCTTTTAAATTTATCTTAAACATTTAAAAAAAAAAAGAAGCTCATCTGTGGAGGTTGTGTTAATGATTAAATTATTTTATTAATCAAAAATTGTTGAGTAAATTAGGCTGTGCGATGAAATTAACAATTTCCTCTCACATTAAATTTCAGTATTTAACAAACATAAAAACATGAGAAACAACAGTTTTTGCACAACAATGAATAAAAGATTTAAACAAGAGATATAAAAAAAACAACTAGAGTTACAAAGAGGTGGTTTTAAAAAGTTCAAACGTCCTTTTATGTTTAAATGAAAAGTTATCAAAGTTCTGGTTTGATAGATTATATAATTTGTTGAATGGTCTGTACAATAATGAGAAAGTGTGTTTGGGTATTATTGTAATTTAAGAAAAAAATAAATAGTTCAAGTTTGTATTTGAAATAGAGAAATATTGTTTACGACTTAAGGTTTACGGAATTGTCGCTCTTTGATTTGTTTTCACTTGTTCGAAGAGAATTTGAGGTGAGTGGTTCTTAACAAGCTGTTTATGTTAATTGCAATAATTAACGTTGAGCTTGAAAGCGTATGAAAAAGATTCGTGTATTAAGTTGAATGTGGAAAAACTTGAGTTGATTGTTCGTCATAAAATATTGCTGTGTGAATGAGTGTTCTCTCAGGCTGGAATCAAAGGAACTTTAACGTAAAGCCTGGAACTGTGTGACGAGTTCAAAGGATTTCGATCAGCGCACTGTCGAAGATGAAAGACGTTTCATATTTTATTGCTAACTTTGGTCACGTGATAGGCTCACAGATGCTTGATAGATTTTGGTGGAATTATCTTTTTGGTCAGGTCAAGAACTAGGTCGATGTTATTAAATATTAAGTGACCAATTAGAAGTTAGTTTTTCTGAAAATATACATTAAGCTGAATAAGCACTGTAATCCACTTTTTGTACAAAAATTGATATTGATAAAAAAAAAAGGTGGTAGTGGGATGCTAAACATTCACTGTTGGTGTCCATTGTGTAAAATTGGCGGTTTAAACATTTTTTTTTTTTTTAATAAACTGACATGAATTTTTAACTTTTAAAGAATCAATAAAAAAAAATCATTTCTCAGTTTCTTCCTAGTGGATATTAATTAAAATATTAATTTTAACTAGAATTTTATCTAAAATAAATTATTGTACCTCTGAACACAATCTACCCCTCCAATTTTTAAATATTTGGTTTTATTGAGCCAGACTAAAAATTAATCTGGTAAATTACATTGATTTTGCGATTTTATAAATTTATTTGAATAATTTTTAATCAACTATCTACATAGACTCTAATGTATAAAAACAAACAAACTGCATTGTAAATTTAAAACAAGGGTCTAAAATTTAGATTATTAATTTAAATTTATCTAAATTTAAATTATTCTCAATTTTAATTTTGATGACTTTAAAATAAACAGCATTTGAAAAGAAAAAGAAAATGATGCCTGACAACACCTTGTCTGTCCATTTATACTCAAAGTGTTTCTTTTACTTCACTAATTAAATTACTCAAGCTGGTGTGTGGAGGTGCACACCCTAAGCAGGACGTCATTGAAGGAGCTGGGGTCATTACCCAGTTCCTGAGGCATTCCCAAAAGAAGTGCCAAAGGGGCTTGAGCAATTTTTCCACTGTATTGGTACTTAAACCTACTTTAATCCTCGACCACATGTCACACTTGGTAGCAACGTAGCCACTCTGAAAAATCTCTTTATTTTGGAAGTTATCTCTCTGAGCAAATAAAGACTTAAAAAATTGTATTAACTAACACAACACCTCAAGATTTTTTAGCATTAGACTTTTATAGACACTTTTATATAACAGTTTTCAGTTCAGTTTTTATTTTATAATGAAGAGCATTTTTAAATGAATCTTATAGATTGCTTGCAATTATAAGGTGAAATCTCTTTCTTGGGTATAACAACTGAATTGACTTCATCTAAGTCACAATTTGATAATGTATACATAAAACAATAAATTTCTTTTGAAAACTCCTCTAGCCAAAGTGGTGTCAATGCATATCAATTCTTAAAATATATAGGTTACAGGGCCTGGTTAGACATCAGCAGTCGTAGTGTAGCAGAAAAACCCAATTCACACATGGTTAGAGATAACAAATTAAAGCCAAATTGATACAATTATTAGAAAACATATATCTTTAAATACACACCAATCTTTGTCTAGCTAAGTCACACACATGCCACACTCTACACAAAACAAATTTTAAGACAAATATACAAGTGTGCTGGCCAATATCAACATGACTCTCGCTTGCTGCAGATGTCTAAAACTACGTCCATGCATTTTCCTTATATAGTCTATAAAAGAAGCCAGACAGGAGCAAGAGAGACTTCATACACACATGCTAACCATAGAGGCTACGCGAAAGCATGGCTGACTGCCCGTCTGACCATTAGGCTGTGAAAACCATCTCCTGTGAACAGAGAAAGAGAACAGACTCCACTATCAGCATGACAAGCCCAAACCAATAGCCAACAAGCAATCAGTCGGTTTAAGCATAATCCTTTTTCACACACTTATTTCATACATTCATACATACAAATGCTACACTATACAATTTATCAGAGACATTTTCATATCTTGTAATTGAAAATGGAAGTAGATTAGATAAAATACTCAAATAAAAACAAAAAATTGAATCTCCCAGTAACAATTAAAATACAAGAGAATAAAAGAAAAAAGGCTTTGTTACCCAAGATGGAACTATCAAATGAAAAAGGGAGAAAAGTAGGCAATGTCATTTCTAAACCAAGATTCTTCATAATTCTTCACAAAACATAACATGTATACTCATCTAACCTAATTTTTAAGGAAAATTGGAACTACAAAGAAATGTATACTTACAATCAGAAAGAGACAACTGAAATTCTTGGGACATGTTACAAGAAAAAAGGCTTGGAGAATTTAACACTCACATGGTATACTGAAGGCAAGAGAAACGAGGGAAACAGCAAGTAACCTACTTCTAAAAGGGGTGCTGTGATATATCTATACCCAGATTTTTGTTGTTATCTGAGTGTTGGGATTCCAAATATTTAACAACAACAACACATCTTTTAAATGAAACATAAAAAAAGTTATTTTTGAAAGAAAAGTAGGAGCAGAACATCATTTGAAATAACATTTATATATTCTTTTCAGAAATATACAATAACAATAAAATGTTCAATTTTCCTTGCAGTGAAGTTTGTTTTATAAAGTAATTAAGTGTTCATAATCTGTTGTGAGATGTGTGGACAGACTTACTTTATGATGGTCAGCCTAATGTGTTCATTAGTGTATAGACAAAGGCTTAGTCAGCTGCTGCTGGCTCATCTTTTCAATTGTGTACATGTGTGTGGATGCATGTGTACATGTGTGTGGGTACATATAGATCAAACTGGACACCAAATCTTTTGAACCCTGAGCAGCAGCATGCTTCTATTTTTATATCTATAAAGAGGATTCAAAATCTAATTTCACATAGAGGTGTTAACTTTTTGAATACAAGGTTTTCATTGGTTAGAAAATAATTTCACACTGGCTCGTGGAAATCTTTTTCTTGAATTTGCGGGCACGGTGAAGAGAGTTGTTATTATTATTTTCTAAATGGTCCAAAAATAACACATGGTAAGTTTACAACTAAGTACAAAGTATTTTGGTGGTATTTGCCCTAGTAATAATTGTTTATCAAACAAACCTTCTGATAGGGTTTTATTGATTGAAAAAAATACATAGGATTCAATTCCTTTTGGAGCAAAGTTAATTAAAAGAACAAAAACAAGAAGCTGATGAGAGTCATGATTGGCTGCATCTTGAAAGGATATGACATATTAAAGAACCCAATTCATTCAATGCTGCTCAAGTCCATTGTTGTTGTTCTTCTTCTTCTGTGTGCCATGTCCCTTCAAGACATTGCAATCATGGCTCTCCACAATTTCCTTTCCTTTGTAGCTCTTAATATATTTTTTTAAATTTTTTTTATCTCACCTAAAATTTGTTCTGCCATCCATTTACTCATGCTCACCTGGTAGGTGATGCGTTCTTTTCCTCTGTCCCTCTTACAATCAATTCATCCTATGAGCATCAAATTTTCCAAGCCCTCTTTCCTATTCTAAAAACTGGTTCTGTTGTCTTTGTTTTTATGATGTGTATTCTCTGTTTATTTTTTCAATTATACTTTCAACCTGTTCATTCTCCAACCTTCTTGAGTTGTAGGTTTTACCAGTTCAGTTCATTCAGATGGCGGTAAAATGCATTCATTCCTTGGGATTTAATTTAAGATTTTTCTTTGCCTAACTTTTTTCTATATCAATATCTGTTTTTAATTTGAGTAGAGCCTCCGTTGATCTCTTCACTGAAATGTTGCGATGAAAAAACACAGATGGGGATGCTAGTCTAACTTGTTGAACTATGGAAAAAATAGAGTGTTAAAAAGTTGTTCTTCCCTTGACACTGCTATTATTTTAACTACCTTCCTTCCTCAGTAATGATTGTTGTTTTAAAAAGTGATGGTTAAAATGGTAATAAAACCTAAACATGTGATGAAAGTGAATTTATACATGTTTTTGTTTTTGAGAATTTACAGCAAAAATATTAAACACTGTTTAGTTATTAAGTTGTTTATTGACAAAAATAATTTTATATTTACAAAATTCTAAAAACTAATACAATACAATATTTATCATTGATCAATTTATAAAGAAATAAATATGAAAACAATTTTTTATTCATAAATTTATAAACATTTACTAAATTATAGAAATATGTGAGCCAACTATAAAGAAATCCTTATTATTTACCATTTTATAAAGTTTGAATCACTTGACAATTAGGTGATGTTTTGGCAATTATTCTAATAAACAATCTAATAAATAAATAGTGTTTATTATTTTTGTTGTAAATTCTCAAGAACAAAGAAAATATATAAATTCACTTTCATGTTTAGGCTTTATTACAATTCTAATCAACATTTTTTAAAGCAATAAATACTACTGAGGTTTGAAGGTAGTTAAAATAATAGCAATGTCAAAGGAAAAACCAGCTTTTTGACACTGTGTGTATGAAGGCCCAACTTTGCCATTTTTTTCTTGTAGAGAGTGGAGGGAATGTTTATAAAATATTTTCATTCTGCATACATTCATTTGTGTTAGTCATTATGAAAGTTTTTTGATTGCTGGTGTACAGGTTCTTCTCTCCCTTGGGTTTCAAAACATCATAATTGACAATTAACCCTAGAATACTAACCATCAATTAAAGTTACACCACTACTAACCACGGGTATATCATACCCAATTTTGAAAATATCAAAAAAAATATTAAATATAAATCTTTATTTGAAATATTTTACATGCAAGCACTTCAAACTTTGTACTTTGAGTTAACATTAATAGGAACTGAAAAACACATTAATTAGGTAAGAAAATCAGGTACTGAAAATTGTAATTAAAAATAGGAAAATTTGTGCTGGGTACTATATACCAATGGTTAGTGTTCTAGGGTTAATGGTTGTCCACTTCTGGGCTTTATTTTAAGAGACAGGTCACCACCTTAAAGATTTTAAACCATGATAGGGTCAAATATTTCCCATTTCCTTCCCTTTCACCAATTCTGTAAGCAGTGTCAATGGCTTTGAAGCTGAGTTCAAAATAATGTCACAAAATTTCTAGATTAATAATACCCACCATTATACCCCACCCACCAAAAAAAAAGACGCTGATGATGATACTGTTGTTGTTGTGGCAGTGATGGTGATGATCATGATTATGATGTGGTGGTTGAGTCATTGTCTTTAGATATCTACATAAAATAAGCTTTGATGTAAAGGTCTGTAAAAAAGGAAATACTTTTGATACAGCCTAATATAGTAGGTATCTTGCAAGATAATGATAGCACCCTATTTGTTCAAATATTTTCCTTTTGCAAGCAGTGTCAAGAATGGCTTAACAGTCCAATCTTTGCATGGCATTCTCTTCGGCAGGTGTGGCAGATGAAACTAGAATGTGGAATAAAGGCCTCAGATTGCTCTCTCTGCTTCCTGCATTGTCTTCTGATCTCCAAAAAGTTTTGCTTTTCCCCATTCTTCATGACTTAACATTTAACAGAATGGCACCAGCTGCTACAATCATCAGCTAGCTGTTACCACCAATCAGAGTTGATTACTTTTAATATAATAATTATATTAATCACATAATGAAGTCATACATAGACTTTAGGTGTGGGTATGAAATAAGCTTTGGAATAAAGGTATGTAAAAAAGGAAAATACTTTTGATACAGCCTAATAAAATTCTTCAAAGAATATAGAAATTTGCCAATGTTTATATTATTTACTAATGTCCTTTGTTGTTAGAATCACAATGTTTTTTTCTGTTGCACTTCTGACCTTCAGGTGTCTGTCAAACCTTGTAAATTTAAAAGAATTTTGAACAGAATACTTTATCCAGTCTACAGGCACTGAATGTTCTCATTCTACAGACCATGTCTTGGTTAATTACCCTTTTGACAACTGAACAGTTATCGCGCGTCCTGTTTCCACTGAGTCTGGGTATAGCCTTATTAGCTGACCCATGGATTGAATTTATAATGGCTATGTCATGAAATTCACTATCAATTATAGAATTAAAGTCTTGGTTAATGAATTTGGTGTAATAGCAGTTCTGTCCTGGGTATGATGATAAACTACATCCAGCAGCAAGGCCTCCGATCGAGAGGTTTTGAGGAGCATGGAAGTATCTCTTAATTGCTATTGTTTCTAGGTCTACCTTGACCTAGAGTGGTAGCACTTATTAGGGTTCCAGCTATGAACCCCCAAACTGGCATCAAAACACAATGTAAGTATAAAAAAGGTTATAGTAAAAATACCAACAATACATTTTTATAGTAAAAAAACTAGCAATATATTTTTATAGTAAAAATACCAGCAATACATTTTTATAGTAAAAAAAGCTAGTAATATATTTTTATAGTAAAAATACCAACAATACATTTTTATAGTAAAAAAGCTAGCAATATATTTTTATAGTAAAAATACCAGCAATACATTTTTATAGTAAAAAAGCTAGCAATATATTTTTATAGTAAAAATACCAGCAATACATTTTATAGTAAAAAAAGCTAGCAATATATTTTATAGTAAAAATACCAAGCAATATATTTTTAGTAAAATTTTTTTATAGTAAAAAAACCAACAATATATTTTTATAGTAAAAAGCAATACCATAGTAAAATACCACATTTTTTATAGTAAAAAAGCTAGCAATATATTTTTATAGTAAAAATACCAACAATACATTTTTATAGTAAAAAAGCTAGCAATATATTTTTATAGTAAAAAAGCTAGCAATATATTTTTATAGTAAAAATACCAACAATACATTTTTATAGTAAAAATACCAACAATACATTTTTATAGTAAAAAAGCTAGCAATATATTTTTATAGTAAAAATACCAGCAATACATTTTTATAGTAAAAAAGCTAGCAATATATTTTTATAGTAAAAATACCAACAATACATTTTTATAGTAAAAAAGCTAGCAATATATTTTTATAGTAAAGTACCAGCAATACATTTTTGTAACAAAAAAAAAATTACCAGCAATACATTTGTTTAAAAAATTACTAATGCTCCCAATAAAATTAAATTTCAGCATTAAATGACCCATAAGGAGTTGATATGCCACTAAACAAACAAAAAAGCTGTTGTGATTGAAAGACCAAACAAAATGTTGTGATAGTAACAACAAAGATGAGGAAATTGCTAATCAAGATGAAGAAAAAACTGATGTAATTAAATCAAACCTGAAATTAACATTAATAATTGACCATTTAAAGACTTGATAATTCTTCTTTTTTTTTTTCAGGAAATATTCTTCTAAAGCCCATACTTCAAGCTGGTGGCACAGATATTTCTCATTGGTTTAATCCAAAAACTCATGATGTAAGTAAAAAAAAAATCCTTTCAGTTAAACATTTTAAAATTCAATTAAAATTTAAAAATGTCTATGACTCAAAAAATTCAGAGTTTTTTTTATATTCTATTTTGAATCAGTTTAAAAAAAAAAAAAAAAATCTTCCAAATGCTAAGTCTGTAAGAATTTTCTGTGATATGAAATCTATACACATCATTTACCTTCAAATAACTTTTAGAAGAGTACACCTATAGTTCATGTTACCAAACCAATTCAGAAATATCTTGACTGCCAGTTGCATATAACTGGTTCCAAAGATCAATGGTGAGAAGTCTTTGAGTGAGTAAAAACCATCCTTCTTTGAATATTGCCAACTGGTGCTACAGAATCGCAAAGAACAAAAACTCAAGAACTACCAACAGAAGCAACAACTAAAATGGATAGCACATGTAACTGGAAGAGAAAATAATGACATAATCAAGATGTCGATATTCTATATTCTCTTCAAATAAAAGGTTAGGAAAGAAAATCCCCCATCAATACTGGAAAGAGCAATAAAAGCTACTGGACTTGAGAAACCGGTTTTACTAAAAAAAGTATTTTATGAGAAAGTTTTTAAAAATTTCAACCAAAAACAGTACTAGCTACTCAGTCAATGAATGCTAAATGTTTCCTTATAAGGAAATGGCTAATATTACCATTAAACATAAATATACTATTAATAATTTATCAGCAACACTTATGTTGGCAGCATGGAATTCATTCGCTAGATATACAGAACTTTTTTTGGTCTCAGAACTGAAAACTATGCTGATTTAATAAATGAAATTCTAGATGTGTAACAAAAGCAAGAATGCTGAGATGTCTCTCAAAATTCATTTCCTGCATTATAACCTTGTATTTTGACCCCCAAAAGGATTTTGGTGTATGCTGGAATGATCGTGCTGAGCACCAGGATATATCTGACATGGAACTGAGGTTATCAAGGTTATTTACATTATTTACATTGTTCAGACTGTTTACAACGTTACAGCCACTGTATGCACCAGCCTTCTTCAGGTGATTGGAATTTCAAACTGAACCCATTTAATTGTACTAATCTTATTAATAGAATATTTCTGGTAAGCAAAATACTTTACTGTATTTCAAAACAAATTTAAATTGATTGGAATTATTTTTTTAATCATTAAAAATGGCTGATTTTTTAGCCATATTTACAAATAGGTACCTCCAAAATTTTTCGAAAAAAGAGCTTACCATGATGAAAAAAAGGCCCCAAACTTGATAAAAACAAAGTTTTATTATCAAAATGTTTGTTATTGTTAAGAGGAAACACCAAAGTATTTTTGATTATTTTATTAAATTTTTTAATCCTTTCCATTTCTGATTAGAAAATATAATTTTTTACTTAATAATAAAAATAATAATATCACCTAACCACTCCAAATTGATATAGAATTTTAAAAGATTTAAAACTTTATAAATTATTATAATTCAATTTTAAAAAAAAATGAAAGCATTTCTTGTAAAAATTCAGTATTCATAAAAAAATTATTTTTTCTTAACACAATGGTGCCCATAATATATCTTATTCATAAAATCAATTAAAAGTAACAGTAACAGGAGTGGTTCTGTTTTTTTAAAAAGAAATTGACAATTTAAATTCTCCAAGGACTTGTGCTTATAACTAATGTAAACATTAAGAGCTACAAAATTGAATTTTCTCAAAATTTAACAAATGTAAACATATATATATATATATATATATATATATATATATATATATATATATATATATAAGAAAGATTTTAAATAAAAAGAAACATTAAAAAAATAATTTCATTTGTGAATAAGTCCTGAAAGTTTCATTAAAATCCAACAATTATCTGTTTTTTGTAAGAATTTCCAAATCAAATGGAAATGAGCCAAGTCTGTTGGTTTGTTAGCCACCATTTTGTTTTGATTTTTGGAAGTAGTCTATATTGATTGTTACCCCTTCTTTTCTCCCTCAGTGAACACAAACATGTATCTCTTTGAATAGTTGTGTGGATATATGTGCTGGTATATATTTAACATCAATAAATCTAGAAAAGTGTTTCTAAATTTCTTTCCACATGATAATTTGCTCTTGAGTGTCTCTAATTTTCCAGGTTCGAACATACGTTGACCCTGAGACAAACTGTGTCATTCCATACTGTCCAAATGGTCGTTATCTCCAAATCCCCCCAGCATATCCAGATTCCAAGTGGGCTAACAATTTTGGATGTCCCTGGTGGAAAGATAACAAATACGTGATTGGTAACCTGTCACAAAAAACACGATTCATCAAAATTGTTAACACACTCACATCCCAAGAACATATACTGGAGGTAGGATTACACTTCAAATTTCTCCAGTTCAAAGAGGAATGAAAATCAATTTTTTTTTTATTTATTTTATTTAAAAAAATATTCTTTACATTGCATTAATCTAGTTTCTACATTTCCTCCACAGGATATAATATGTAAGCTTTTTTTTTTATAACTTCACCTCAAGCAAGGTGATAAAGCCACTAAGACATGAGGGAGAAAGTGAAAATGAAAGAAACTGAGAAAACATCGAGGAGAGAAGGGACAATAAAAAATTAGTTTTCAAGCAGACAGAAGATGATAATTGATATTGCATTTAAATTTTTGAAAATCATAGTTGACAGAAAAACAAGAAGCTGGAAGAAAGTTTCACAAGTGAGAAGTGCAAGAGAAGAAGCCATTAGCATAGAATTTACAGCCACACTTAGCAATTTCAACAGTAAAATAATGAGACCTAACTGCCAATCTAGTATTACTTAAATTCATGTGGTCGAGGCACCAAAGTAGAAAGCTTATCAGAACATTTACAATAAAAAAAGTATTTATAAAAAATGCAAAGGGAAGCTAGACTATAGCAGTGGGAAAGTAATTGAAGTCAAGATGCCAGGTCAGGATCAATAACATTGCAGATTTTTCTTTGGATTTTTTCAAGAATCTCTAGATATATAGCAGAAGCACCAGACCAGATGTAGCTGTAATATTTAATGTATGAACAAGTGGCTGACTTATAAATATGTAAGATAAATTCTGGCGAGAATAATTGTCTAGTACAACACAGCGAACAAACTTACCTTGCATCCAACCTAGTATTTGATTCAATATAATTATTCCATTTCATGTCAATGGAAAAGTTACACTGCAATGAGTCATTCTTCTGGAAATCTTCTGCTGTTTTCTGCCAAAATTTCAACTTGTGGTTTAACCCCCACATAGTTTTGCCAGTTTTACCAAGAACTTGTCAAGCAGCTATAAAAATGAGATACTTTCTGTCTTTCTCTCTCTCTTTTTCCTCACAGCATGCTTTAGTGACAACCCCCCCCCAATCACCTTGTTCTTGGGCACTGTAATTTTTCACACCTATATAGGTATCGCCCATTAGGGCCAGCATGTACAAACTCTAAAAACCCCGACCAGTTGGGGAGCCTAATTGGGGAACCCAGGCAGTGCTTTGTGACCCTCACTGTCTTATCAACATTGGCTTTTTTTTCTGCCTACATTTATATGCGTTACAAATTAAATTAAGCTCAACTATTAAAGGATGAAAATTTTTCATTGATTTTGACGTTATTCTAATGTCTTTTTTTTTTGTCTAAATCCATGAATTTATTTTTCTTAAAAAAACACTATATAAAATTCATTATTCTTTATCCATAATGTTGAATGTGTTAAAATTATTCAACTTTTTAGCAAGAAAAATCTCAAGTTGATGTTAAAAAAATTGTCATAAAACATTGTTGATTTATTTAACATGAAATGATCTATTATGATATGTCTCTAATTTCTATTTAGATACATTGTATTTATTTTCAGTTTTCTAGTTGAATTGTTCACCTATATTGCATATGATTCATTATTGTACATAATTAGGTTGCAATAAAATTTGTATTTTATATGAATACTACCTTATGAAAATTGAGATGTAGCAGATAATGGTGGGCACAAGACTTTTGCACTGGCCATCACCCACACAATTCCGAACTTTCAAGATCTCCTTGCTTTTGCATACTAGTATTTTTTCTCTCTTTTTATTTAGTTATATAAAAATAAAAATATTAACTTATTGAAATTTATTCAGTTCTTTACACTCGTCATTGACTTTGCAAAAGCCACTGCTTTTAGTAAAACTGGTAGTAGCAACCGTAATAATTTTGGTGATCACAACGTGGTTTCAACATGCACCTACTGTAACAAACATATCCAATATCCAAGGAGCTTGTCTTTCTTGGCTGATGCTTTATAGGCTTCTGCAGCTGAATTAGTTAAATCTCTAGTGATACAGTATATGAATTTTTGTTGGAAACTTCTTTCTATATTTTGTTCATACTTCTTACTTTAAAAGTTTATTTACAGTCTGAAAAGTTATGATGGAGAAAAGATTAACCCAAAATTAATAGCTGAAAATTTGAAGAATTTATAACTAATTTCTCCTCTAATAATGAGTCTGCTGATCTTTTTGCAACAGGTGTGCTCTGAAGAACGACTTGAGGCTATTCTGGAACGTTATTTGGCATACAACGCACATGCAGACAGTTATACGTGGAAGTATGACAAAAGAACACTGAACATGCATCAAACACTTGAAGAGAATGGCATCAGAGATGAAGATGAAGATTTCTATGAGTTGAGAATGAGAGACAATGAATTTCTTCAAACAATTCATCTTTATTTCAATGACGATCTCACAGAAAAATAACAGAAGAACCAAATATTTTATATGAAAAAAACAAATACGTTCATCGCACGTTTTCCTCTGAATTACTGAGAAATAAACTTTCAATTTTCTTGAATAAAACAACAGTTTTTGAGAAAAACTCTTCAAACTACCAAATTTGGATACAATTCTTGAAAAGTAGCAACTTGGTTTGAAAATAAGAGTTTTTCTTGGAGATAATCAGTATTTAGAAGATTTTGTTGATATGGCACCAAAAACATTGAGAAGAGTCATTAACATTTGAAATCTTCTTTGATCAGTTGAATTCCTTTCAGTTGAATTCCTTTCAGTTCTTTGCTCTTAACACAATATTTTTGCGTGCGGACAGAGTGTTGAAGGACAATTTCGAAAGATAAAACGTCAAAGTGTTGAACGAACAAAATACTGAACAGAAAAAAAGTCGAACTGACTAAATGACAAAATTCCAGAAATGTGTCTACAATAGCATACCTTTTACTTAGCATGCAAGTATCCAGCTGGTAAATAATTATTTTTAAATTTTAAACTAATATAAAAAAAAAAAAATTCTACATAACTGCTAACTTTTTTGAAGAAGGATCTGCAGTAAAAAGTTAAAACTTTTTATTTATAGTCCCTAATGAATAAATACACGAGAAGACCCTCAATTCAGTTTGGTGAAAAAAATAAAGCGTAATAAACGACCTCCTCCTCAAATCAGGCCACCAACCGATGATCATGGAAGCTTAATCACTTTTAAGGCTATTATTTAAAAAAATGATGTCAAAGCTAAGGAATAAAAAATTTTGAAAAGCTTAATTGATTATTTGAACAGAGTTTTTAAAATCATGACGATATGTTCGTTTTTATTTTGTTCAACATTTTGTCTATTTGTCATTTTGTTTTTCAACAATTTATCCTTCATCACTCTGACCTATTACCAATATTTTGACCAACCCATTCTCCGGCCTTAAAAGCTGAACTATGAAATGTTTAAATATCATATTTAAGGAGGAATTCAATCATCTGAACCAGTTTAGCATAATTTGGTAATTTTTTTCATAAATATTTTTACAAGGGTGAAAAATTTAATAATAGCAATAAAAAAATGATACATTAAAATAAATGAATGAAAAATAAGAAAAAAAAAACAGGTAGCAAAAAAGAAATTGACATTACATTAAAAGTGATAATAGTAAAATTGTGTTTACCATTTTACAGTAACGTAAATTTTTTTAGTTATTTTTTTGCCCTCTTCTTTTAACATTCATTTTTATTGTTATTTTTAGACTTGGTGATATTTAGAATTTCAAATATTAAGATTTCGTTTCATCAAATCTTTGCATTTTCTTCTCTTTCTTGTATTCTTAATTCCACTTGACATTTATTCTAATGAATAAACAATTTGATTCAACAAAAAATATTTTATTCTTGATTTATTTAGACTATTTTCATTCATTTTGTTGTTTCTAAAGTCAAGACATTTTTCAGGCAAAGAATAAAACTACAGAAATATTGGAAAGAAAATGGTGATTTGAACTTCCATTTCATATTTTGGTTGTTGGTAACCAAAACTGTCAGGAAGAGACAAACTTCTTATCTGTCATCTTCTACAACAAAAAGAACCACGGGATTTTTATAAACATCTGAACAATTAAATAGATCCACTATTAATATTTTATGAATCCATATATATATATATATATATATATATATATATATATAATGAATAAAGACAAGAGGAAAACTTATCTTAATTGACATGTTTTATCCTATGAGGGGCTTTATCAAGACAAATACATTTGCCTTGATAAAGTCCCCATAGGATAAAAACAAACTAGCTAAGATAAGTTTTCCTTTTGTCTTCATTCATATTTTCCTTTTGCAGATATACTCTATCTAAAATTTTACATACACACACATTTTATTTATTTTATATATATATATATATATATATATATATATATATATATATATATATATGGGTAGATGAAGACATAAAAAAACATTTACTTTGCCATTTAGGAATTAATAAAAAAAAAAAAAAAAAAAAAAAAGTAACTATTTAAACAAGAAATAAATATAAAATGAAATACACCAATATTTTCCAAAACTTAAGGAAACCCCAGAATATTTGTGAAAATTAACCTAAATAAAAGTTCTGTGTTTGGTATCGGAAATAAATTATCTACATTATCTTTTATACTCAACAGTGAAAAACGAATAGTGAGATAGTATTAGGAGACAAGAAAATTAATAGAAGGGGAAAATAACCATGACATTCTACACTTGTACAAACACATATATGTGTGCACGCAAAGGGGAAAAAAAATCAATCGAAACCCAATAAGAAAAGCATAATTTTTTTTTTTAATGTAAAAATAATGAAAATCACCAGACAATTATTGATACGTCCTGAGAAGTGGACTGAACAATGTCACAGGTTCATTTACGAAACTAGAGTCGGAGTGCTGAATATAATGTCAATCAGCAAAGGGACAAATTTTATATTTGTATTTATCCTATATATATATATATATATATATATATATATATATATATATATATATATACATATATATATACATACATATATATATATATATATATAATAAAAAGGCTTAAACACTAATATTCCATGGTTATAATTTATTACATTGGAATTGCAATTACAATCCAATTCATGAGATCTACAAATTCAAAAAGAAATCGGAAAAAATAATTCCGGGAATAAAAAAATAAATTTAGTGAGAGTGTAGAGAGGGGGTAACAGACAAGATAAGAAAAGGAAGGCCTAAAAGTGAAGGTGGGGGTTAAAATTTAACAGAGAGAAATTCAAAAGAGAAATCAGTTAAAAGTGTGATACAGATAAAGTTGAATTATTTTCCGATACATAATTCATTCTTAAATCGCTGACCTAAATTAATTTAAAAACTGACACCGGAAACAGGTTTATACATTTGTAGTGACATTACGCACAATAATCTAAACTTAAAAATCAGAAGATGAGAAAGAGAGAGAAAAAAGAAAAGAAAAACAAGGCGAAAGATGGATGGGGGGGTGGGGCAACTAAAACTGAAGGGCATTTATAAAAGAGCTGCTGTACAATCAAGAAAATTTGACAAAAGTAATAACACCTACATTATAGTCTTACTCTGTCCTGGACATTGAGTTCTACCTGGATTCTATCCTCTTGGAATATATGTATGTATGTGTATGTATATTAACCACCACTTATTATATATATATATATATATATATATATATATATATATATATATGTGTGTGTGTGTGTGTGTGTGTGTGTGTGTGTATATTAACCACACACATATATATATATATATATATATATATATATGTATGTGTGTGTGTGTGTGTGTGTGTATTAACCACTTATATATATATATGGAGGAAAGATGTATGACAGTGTGAAAAAGTTTTGCTGTGATGTGTTTTGTCTTGTAGGCCATCATTAGATTAAGTTTGTTTACATTGATGCAACTGTGTGTGCATAAACAAGAAATGCTGGGAATTTTAAATTTAGAAAAACACATTTTTATGTATATTGGATATGTAATCTAACCAATTTAATTTAGATTCTTTTTCCTTTTGTTATTAAATCTCCCACATTGTGATAACAAAAGATATGTCAACAATGGTAAAACATTGTAAGAAGCTGGACTCAAATTTACTGTTGATGATCTAGCGATTAAAGCATTTTCTAATCATTTTTTGTTTTAGTGAATTGTTTCCTCTTTTAATTAGAGTCCCATTTATTTTATGTCAAAAATTGTTGTCAGTCTCATCATGGTGAGCAACTAGTTCATTTAATGTGTTGTTTATTAAAATGTCTCTTGTGTTCATATAATCTTTTATTTAAGCTTCTTGAGGTTTTTCCACTATATTTTTTCTGGCAATCCTTGCAGGTGATAGAGTAAATTCCTCTTTCAAGTTTTGCCTTTTTGTTTTGTCTTGTATTGTTTTAGATGTAACTGTGAAAAGTTTTATATCTAAACTGGCCATAGTTACACTACTTCTGCTATTTATTTGGAGATTCTTGAAAATAAGCCAAAAGAGAATCTACAATATTATCAGTATTGACGTGGCATCTCAGCTTCAGTCACTTCTTCTCAGCCATAGCATAGCTACCCTGTGCCTTTTCTATAAATATTTTCATGGTAATTGTTCTGATGAGCTTTCCTTTTTTGTACCTTGACATTACAAATTTAAATATAGTACTAGATTGGCAGATAGGTCTCATCATTTTACAGTTGAAACTGCTTTTATGGAACCATAAGTTTTGTTGTTTCTTCTCACACACTTTTGGAACTCTCTTCCAATATCTTGCTTTCCAATCAACATTGAATATTGTAAACAGGAGAAAACATTCACACTTGCAAATCTAGTTTGTTGTTCATCATTACAATAAAGTGATTTGACATCAAACAAACTATATTTGGACAATTTGTTAAAATTAAATTTGGGTAATAGTTAGGCTCATGGGCCTTTAGTAAAAATCAGTCTGTATTTTTAAAAAAAACTATCCATATATAAAATATAATATTTGTGTGTGTGTGCGCTCATAAACATTACATTTTAATTGACTTAATCAATACAAAACAAAACGAGCCAAAACTTGAAAGAGGAATTTACTCTATCAACTGCAAGGATTGCCAGAAAGAATATATTGAAAAAATCTCAAGAAGTTTAAATAAAAGATTATATGAACACAAGAAACATTTCAATAAACAACACATTAAAAAAAACTATCTATATATAAAATGTAATGTGTGTGTACATAGCCCCTCCCCCCCATATATACATATATATACATATATATATATATATATATTACATTTTATATATGGATATATATATTTTTTTAAATACAGCTTGATTTTTTACTAAAGGCCCATTTAATTTTGACAAGTTGTCCAAATATAGTTTGATGTCAAAATATTCACTCCTGTTTTGATAGTAAGTCTGATCAGTACAAGATGGTCAAATTGACAGCTGATCTAAAATATGACCTACAATCTGTTGTTAACTGGGGCAAGGAGTGACTTTTTAATTTTAATGCTTCCAAAACAAAACTGCACTCTTAATCATCTGAGAAAAGCCTTTTTGCCTTTCATCAGTATGGCTGATGCTAACCTCCAGGAAAGTGACTCATTTCACTTTCTTGGACTAAGGTTTTTCCACTGACATGAAGTGGAAAGATTATATTGAATACATTGCAAGCTCTACTGCTAGGGAAGTTGATTCACTCTATCTTACACATATATAAGTCTACCATACGTTCATGCATTGAATATTGTTGCCCCATCTGATCTGGCACTTCTATGTATCTAGAGATTCTTGATGAAAAACAAATAATCTGCAATTTTATTGGTCCTGATCTGGCATCACAGCTTTATGTGGCACCCTGCATTATTAGAAAAAACTAAAGAAAAGAAATATTCATAGAAATATGATTTAATTTTTTATTCTTTATTAACCAGTTGTTAGTTTTTAGACAAAGAATAATTGAGTTTTGAGAATAATTCTCTAATTGTATTCTCCTAAGGGAAGAAAAAAGAAGGAAAAAGAAAAAAGAAAATGAGTAATGCAAAAGGCCGGTCATTAGCTAAAAACAGGTGTCAAGAGGCCAACGCTACCCGACCGTTTCAAGTGACAATTTGTTATTTGGGAGAATTTAATTAAAAGAAAGAAAGAAAACAGGCTTGTAAAAGGCTGAACATATGTACGATGATAAAAAATCAAAAGCATCTGTTTTTGTGTAGAAGACTATTATCAATTTGGAGAAATGGGATTTTAGAACAATGGAAAAACGAAAATTAATCGGAGAAAGGTGTCTTTTGGGATGAGAAGGTGACCGCTGGAATTGTATACAGATTCTGACCTGTTAAAAATTGGAACCCCACAATGATGAAGTGAAGACATTTTCAATTCAGATAATTAAGATTTTTGACTATCAGGTCTGAGCAAAAACAAAGAGGTGAAAACCTTGGCTCACAGAGAGCCAGAAGATTAGAAGTCACATCTAATTAGCGGCGGGCTGTTTTGACAAAGACCAGGAAGGTGAAATTAGAGATTGTTGGTTTCAGGCAAAAAGGCCAAATTAGATTTTGTTTTTTTTTAGCAAGGTGTTCTTTTCCCAGAACAACGAGTTTAATAATATTTTGCGAGAAATAGGAGAAAGGACGCCTGCAAGACCCATTGGTCGAAAAAACGGTCAAACATACGGGCACTTGGTAGGGGTGAAAATAATAGCGATAATGGGAAATCAGAAATAATCTTTTTGAATTATCGAGAAAACCCTGACGCCCACCCACCCCAGTTTGTTGCGCGTCAATAAAGCAGGACCCCAGTCGACAGAAATCAGTTGCAGCTGGACCATAGCGAGGGAGCTTGAACGCTGGCATTGGGTCCGGTTCATTCGCCCCTTTGCGGGCAAGAGAATCCTAAGACAAGAAATCCTTCCAGCCCAAGTCGAAGAAGAAGAAGATTGCTCGAAAGCCGTTTGTTTAAGAAGAAGAGCTGCAGGCCAGACAGGCCAAGAATTGCAGGCCAGACAAGAAAAAAGCAAGGCCAGACAGGCCAAAGAATTGCAGGCCAAACAAGAAGAAGAGCTGCAGGCCAGACAGGCTGAAGAATTGCAGGCCAGACAGGCCAAAGAGTTGCAGGCCCGACTAGAGCTGCAGGCTAAGGCCAAAAGGCAAAAAGTTGTCAAACAGAGAGCTTTTCCCCGCGACAGAGAGCAATCACCTCAGACGGCAGAGAGTGCCAAACAGAGAGCTCATTTCAGCCCCAGACGACAGAGAGCTCAGATCACCTAGACGGCAGAGAGAAGAGTTGCAGGACGGAAGAAGAAGAAGTTACTTGCCGTTATGCATAGAAGAAGTTGAAATCAAACCAAGCCCAAGAACAGAAATTCACCAAACCAAATCGTAAGAAATACGTCCAACTCTGAGAAGAATCAGCCGTGAACGTCACTGGTAGAGATTTACAGTGTCAAAACTAAACCATTCTAGGATAAGTAATTGTAAATAGAAGCTTGTCCACAAAGCGGGTCGGGGCAACATTAGATATAAAAAGGTTGTTACCCTTTTTTTATCAGTAATTTTTGGTCAGTTTTTTTTCTTTTACTTGTGTTTTGCCACCCCGGCATACGCCCCCAATCCCTGTTTGATCCCTGGTCTAAGATCTAATCACAATGTGGGTAGGCAGACCGGAGATCAGTACAGTTACCCTGGTAACCAGGTGTTGGAAGCGTTTGACAAAGGCGAGGCTGGTAATCATCACCAAGGGGTTGTTTGGAACAGCTTAAGAGCGACCAGGAAACGTCACAGTTTCGCCCGACCAAAGGATTCGATTCCCTGGACCAAGTGCCCACATTTATTCACTGCCATAATGTAACATCTCTGTGCCTTTTCTATAAATATTTTCATAATTATTCTGATAAGCTTTCCTCTATATTACCTCGTCTTTATAAATTTGAGAGCAGTGTAACAGGCTAATGACCTTGAAATCAAGGTTTTATAAGTAGAAAAGTAAAAATGGTATTTGAAGGTTAAAATTGAAATAAACAGAAAATTCAAACATGGTTTCGTAATTTCAATGAACCCTGGACCAGAAATTAGAAGAAAGAAACGAGAAATTATGTTGGTGGCAAATAATGTAAGTTTAATATATTTTCAGGTGCAGATATCCATGCAAAGTGGCAGTTGGATATGTCTTTTTTTATGAATTCCACCTGGGCAGTCACAGGTTTGTTTGAAAGTGGTTAGTACAAGGTTTGGAAACTGGTCAGGGCCAAATTACTTTGAAGCCGAGGACTAGAAATAAAACAAATGTCTCTTTTCTGCAACAATCAGCTGCAATTTTCATAATTGTCATTGTTTGGGATTTCTGACGAATCCTTCACCAGTAAGAAAGCCATCTGGTTAATTTACAGGAATATGGATATAATGAAATATGTGCTATGGGCATTGTGAAGTGTCATTTTCTGGGGCCTGGCTAGGTAAACTGAAGTCATTAATCATTGTTATCAGGAAAGATTTCCCCATACAAGCCAGCACACATTTCACTTGCCAGTCATTTTCTGTGAGGAGCAAACAAGCCAGGTTCTATGACACACCAGCATTTTGCTAGATGTAAACATGTTCTATGTTAACGGGTTTCTTCTCTCACACTTCTTGCTTGTAGAACTCTTTTCTAGCTTCTTGCTTCCTGGTCAACTTTGATCTTCAAAAATTTAAATATAATATCAATTGTTATATTCTATCTTAATTCCTGTTCTCTCTCTTTAATAACTTTTTCTTTTCTCTCTCTTATTCTCTAACACTCAGTAACCCTTTATGTCTTAGTGGCTTTATTGCCTTGTTTGGTGTTAAATGAAATTTTCATTCTATATATATTATAAATATAGGTAACTATACTCGTTTTGAAAAACCTTCGAATTTTTGATTTGCCAATAATCAAATCAATCTTGAGGGGGGAAAAAAGGTTTTAAAAAAAAGAAAGAGCCAGGAACATGAAAGTCTGTCGAAAAAAATTGCACAGATACAGGTTTAAAGCCCAAAGAAAAAAACCTGACACAAGTAAACAACTAACAAAAGAGCTCAATACAACCATAGAGCAGACCTAGATAAACCTAGTGAGCCAGACAAACCTACCCAAGTTTCACCTAAGTGGATCGTCAGGGAAAGCTGGCTAAAGAGGCAAAAGAGAAACGGCATATTTATAGGCGCCAATCAAAACTATACCATGTGATCAAAAAAAAAAGAATAGAAAAAAACCAAAAAACAAACAAAAAAAAAAAACAAGAAAAAACAATGCAACACCGGAGGGGTTAGGATTTATTCAAACGACTAAAAGGGGAGGGGATATTTTAAGGAAACACGGACAATAAATGTGGAATAACAATACAATCAGGGGAGATTAGATGTAATTCAATAACCAAGATTTTCTATGCCTGCATATGTTAAGAATCTCAGTTTTGGAGTTTAATAGATCATTAGGTTCCCTATATAAAGCTATGGCTAATTTCTCCTCCGTACATAGCTTACAGAATTTTTAACCTGCTTTATATTTGGGACATCTTTTTAATATTTCCCATTTAAGGATGGGGTCTTTATCATTTTCTTGTCTAATTTTCTATACATAGGTGGATAGTGTGGTGCTATGTTTAGTTTTTTCATTTTTAAAACTACTCAAATGATTATAATATCTTTTTTTAACAATATCCTGAGTAGCTCCTATATACACTTTAGGGTTTATATCTTCCATATCCTTATAAATTTTTGCCTGGTAAACCACAAATTCCTAACATTTTCCCTGTAGGGGGCAGATATTTTTGTTCCTACAATTACAACTAGAAGGGCCACTGCATGGATTATCCCGAGTTTTTTCTTATTATCAGCTTTCCCTGACGATCCACTTAGGTGAAACCTGGGTAGGTTTGTCTGGCTCATTAGGTTTGACTACATTATATAAGTGGCAACTCTAGGTCATCAATGTTTGTCAGGCTCATTACAATCTTTAACAAAATATACTATTGGCATAACTTAGATGCTAAAATGATTCCTTTAACTAAATTATATAATTTTTAAAAATCTTTGTACATGAAATTTAAAAAAAAAAAAAACACACATTTTGGTATTTTAATATTAACTGTAATAGTTCTATAAAAATAAACATTTATTTTTAAAATATTTGTATATATGTCTATGTGTTAATGTTTATGTATCTTTCTCTCTCTCTGAATTTTTAGTTTAATTTATTGTATGTTTATGATCAGTACTGCTGACTGTTATCATATTTCCTCAATACTACCCCAGTCACACTCTTCACCCCAACCCTCCAGTCCATGAGTTAAGGCTGCCACTTTCTTTTTCAATTGAAACATTCCACTAAAAACCTTTAACTGTATGGAATAAATTATTTAAAAATGGACATTTGAAAACAATAAGTTGAAATAAAAATGTTTTCTTTGAAAAACAGGACATACAAGTCATTAGAGATTTTTAAAAGATCATTTATAAAATTAAAGAAAGAAATACATTGCTTATTACATATGTCTCCAGCTTGATAAGACTTAGATCTATGCAGCCTGACTAGCCATGATATTTTTTTTTTTTTTCTCATGAATGATATCAACAAAATGTATTTCAGTCAATATTTTAAAACAATTTTGGTCCAGCTGAATTCAAGAATGAAAATGACATACTATGAAAGATTTTTATTGGTTTGAAATAGATATACTTTAATGCTGATAATCCGAACCCCAGAGTTGCCACTGATATATATATATATATATATATATATATATATATATATATATATATATATATATATATATATATGATTATTTATACACACACAGCTTTTGGGGCATCTTGATAAATTAATTACTTCTGTTACTTTTAGTGATTAGCCATATGCTTTTCCCCAATACATTTTATGATGTTTAAGGGACAGAAACAAATTACTGCATTTTATTTCATGCCATATGATGGATGATACAGTAAACAGAGTGATGCTGACAAAAAGGCCATACAAAAAGCATTGGCCACCAGAAAAAATCTTACATTTTTTTTCTTAAGTTAAAAAGGAAATTTATTTTTTTGTGCAAAAAGTGATCTTTATTACAGAAATTAGAAAGTAAAAAATGTCAAAGTGCGACATTAGTAATTAGTGTAATTGTGACATTAGTAATTAGTGTTCCTGCCTTTTCTCAGATTTTTTGCCCCCCATTCTTCTTTGGAGTAATCCCAAAGCTCTTAGATTATCATTGGAGCATTTGTTGCTTCAGTTCCCATCACAATGTTTCAACTATATTGAGATCAGGACTTTTTGCATGTGAGGTGTGGCAAAGAGCACTGTCATAGTGAAAAAAAATACTGAAAACATCTTTGTAGTCTGGCAGAAGATTAGACTAATATAGTTTTCACCATTTAAGTTTCCATCTGTGGCAGAGAGCAATGGTTACCCTTGAAATGTTAATATAGTTATATAAAATTTTGTTTATAGATGAGAAAAATAATCTGTGATGAAGTTTGAGGCCAGAGAATCTGTGCTTAGTCAGAAATATTAATATAAAATGTCAAAATAATAGTGTTTATATGAACTTTGGAATACCAATTGAGAAGAAAAGATTGTTCATTTAATCATGAAGGGGGAGAGGTTAGTGATCAGGTTATATTCTTAGTTTACCAACCCTGGGTATTTGTCCCTACCACTGCATTTATTTACGCACATGTTTGTGCAAAAACATCATCTTGCGGCCTCAGCCAAGATTGAACTCACTACACCTTTTCAGTATTCCTTATCTGTCATAGCTAATACTTTGATTGGTATAGTTCATAATCTTGTCAAATAGCTAAATTCTTGATGCTTTGCTAGGGCTATCAAGGGTGTTTTTATCGTGACACCATCACTAAATGGATTGCCAACCAAGGCTCAGAGAGACTCTATTCACCCTCCACTAAGAGCAGGTTTGAATTCAGAGTTTTCCTTCTCCTAGACCAGTTGCCATCCAAGGCTATAGAACCCAGTCTGTCCTGCTATTTACCCATAGCTGGAGGGAGAAGAAAGAGGATTCACACCTTTCCCAAGGGTATGAAGGGTGTGCAAAAACAGTCAAAGTTGAAGTTAGAATTAAAGCTAGGTGAAGTGAGTTGACAAGCAGTTGACCAGAGAGAGAGAGAGAGAGAGAGAGAGAGAAAGAGAGATAGGCAGTGAAAGTGTCTGCTTGCTGCTGTAATAAGGGAGGAAGTGAACTAAAGTTATCTGCAATATTGGCACAATACTGCCAGTGAACCCTCTTATATCCTGATAGTGAAATAATTACAGCAACTACTAAGAACAAAAATGGTGAACCCAAAAACAACTACTCTCCTTTCAGAATTATTTGCAATATTTGTTTTTTTTGCCCCCTCTGGACTTTATTACATATACACTACTTTCTTGTAAAAGAAGCATTATTTTTTGTACCAATTTATTCCTTATATACATAAATTTTTCTTTGGACTCTAATCGACTTGTTCATATTTGATTTTTCTGCTTGGCCTGATTCTCGCCCCAACTTGCAGGTAGACCAGCTGAATCTTCCGGGATCTACGATTTGTTAATTGCTCTCCAGGATCAAAAAAATCATAATGTGGCTGGAAAATAGAATCGAATCGACGTTGTGGACCAAAGACTTTGATTGGACCTGTAATATTGGACCAGGACAGGACCAACAGCTGGATATTGCTCTTGTTTGCAACCTCATCACCAAATTTTACCATCTTTTTGATGTATCATGTTTCTTTCTCTCACTTCTATTCTTACAAATTCTTTTGCATTAAAATGTAAGTATTTTATATTCATCATTAAAAATTACTTTTTGCCACTTTCTAGCATCCCACGTTAGATTTTTTTTTTTACGATTTCAATCTTCTGTTCCAATGTATTTTTTTTGTTATGATTTTTTTTCTTGCTGCCATATATTGTTTCCTCATAATACATTGTGTACTGTATCCAGTGAAACATCACTTAAGACTGCATTCACTCCTCACGTGTCACTTTTGGATTGCCTACCAAGATTCTCACAATCTTTCTTTCATCACTCTGGTCTAATTTTTGTGGTCTTCCAGTTTTCTTTACCCTTAAAACACTTCCAGCAGTAGCAAAAGTCTTTTGAATGGTTTGAACAAATTGTTTTGGAAATTCCTAAATGCCTGGCTATCACTTGTGAAGTTATTTCTTCCTTCAAATCACAACCTTCATCTTTGTTTCAGCAGAAATTTTTGTCATGATTTTTGTGTAAAAATTACAATGACTTGTCAAGGCACTTTACACTCATGTTAATAGATTGTAACAATTCCTAGTTGAAAATTTGCATATTTTCATGACTATCATCTCGGATCTTTCATTGGCCCAATACTTTAAATAAATTGGTTTCAAATGTTGTATACTCTGTCTTCATTTATCTTATTGATCCCAAAAATTAACTTTGATAGGATGTTCTTTCTTACATGACACCAGACTAGATGTCATTGGATAATCTAAAAATTTAAAGATGTCTGCCATGTTCAAAATTAACTGGTAATTTCCTTGTGTCAATCAGTTATTTTAACAATACATAATTTGAAAGCTAACAGAATAATAAACATAAAAATTCATGGAAGATAATCTTATTTAATAAATAGATGTATTATAAATATATAGTAACGAATTTTAATGGGATAGGCAGAGCATTTTTTTCCTCTGCTTTTCTGACATATTCTCTTGTCTTACAATGTATTTTGCATTCATCACTAAAAAATTACTTTTTGTCACTTTCCAGCATCATTTGTTAGATGTTCTTTTAACCACTTCAATCTTTTTATTCCATTTTTTTTCTTTTGGTTAATGATGTTCTCACAATCTTTCTTTCATCACTCTGGTCTAATTTCTAATATTACACAAAGCTAAAAGTTTTTTTAAGAACAGAAGTTTTGATGAATGATAGTATTTACTATAATTATTCCCCTAATTCTTTTTTACTTCAGTTAAAAATAGAATCAACATTATAACAAATTATTTGCACAGAGAGAAGTTTGACTGCATTTCAACTTGTATTCAATGCCTTTTACATTCATGAATGGTTGGTGCTTTCAAAATTTTTCCTTTTTATTTTCCAATAATTTTCTATTATTTGGGTGATGCAAAAGTTCTAATCTTCTTTTGCACAATGCCAAAGAAATCTTAGAAGTGTCTGAATTTTCTCCAGTTCTTTATTATTGCTTATGCAGTCAGTCAGCTGGGGTACATGTGTTCAAAAGCCTTAGACAAAATGAATGAATAGCAGTCAGTGAAACATTGTTTCTCTCCTGCCGACAAACATAAGAAAAAAGGCAGGATAGTTACTGATGATTAAAAATGGATTTATTAAGAGAATTTAAAATGAAAAATAAAAAACATCGCTAGACCCACAAAATCTCCATCTAAATTAAATTTATCTGGATTGGAAGGTTTCCTTTCTCAATTTGTCCCGTTCAAAGAGAATTATTTATTTATTTTTAATTGATGGAATTATCTGGGCAATTGGTTCATTTGAATGAATGACATATTTTTCTGGATAAAGAAGTCATATTTGCCAGGTTTATCATCTTCAAACTGTGGCATATCTGAAAGCTGCATCTGAAGTCATCGATGTGATATCCATTACTGCTGACAACCCAATAAAAAAGGGAGATCTTTGTGACTAAAGTCAGAACAGAAAAAAAAAAAAAAAAAAAAAAAGAGAGAACAAAGATTATTAGTTCTTTTTCTTATAGGCAGCCACAAGAAATTCTCTTTGGTCAAGAGTAATCTTACCTGTATTTCTTTCTATAGAAATAAACATTTTAAACTTCCACTAAACTCCAGGTTTTGAACATATTCTCCTTCAGGCTTTCTTCATGGGGAATCTAAATTTGGAAAATCAAAAGTGCTTTAATCATCAACATTTGGATGCAATTAAAAAAAAAAATAAAAAAAAAAATAACTGAAGTTGTCAAATTTTCATAACTTTATACTTTTATTTCTGAAGCTTATATGAAAATAAACAGAAACCAAAAATAAAACTTGATTGGACAGAAATGTCAAGGATATTTGTGCATATTTCATCATCCACTTGATTTTTTTTCATTTTGTACAGTTTGTTGCCTCTAACCTGCTGAACCGTCAAAGCTTTAAACATGAACATTTGAGAGACGACTAAACAGGGAGAAGTCATTCAAAAAAAAAAAAAAAAAAAAAAAGCAAGGAAATATTTAATGAAATCAACCAGCACTCACTTATTCAGGTTTGGAGGTGAGTAACATATTTATCAAGTTGTCTTGTCGAGCAGGGGTTAATCTTTTGTATGATGAATTTTTGATCAAATGATTTTTAGAAAGCATGGAAATAAATTTTAAGACAACTCCACACATGCATAATAATAATAATAATAATAATAATGTGAAAAAAAAAATAGTCATTAAGAGAATCTCTTTAAGTGGCACTTATGTGGGATTTGGTCAAAGTCTACAGAAATAGCCCAAAATATAACCAGCTTTTAAAATGAGAGAAGGACTTATATGCAATTGGTGAAAGAAAAAAATGCTATTCCTTCAATGTCTTGGAAAGATTAAATCAGTTGCCTGCTTTTGTCATGGCTTCAAGCCTCACCATTGGTTACTTTATTGGTGTTTGTTTATAATAGTCTTTGCTTGTATTAACTGTTAAAGCCTTGAAATAGTCAGATTCTGAAATCATAATCATTATAATAATAAAATATTAATAATAATAATATTAGGCAAGAAGAGTTTTGAAATTATTGAAAAGGCAACAGAAAAATGTAATGACAGGAAAACATATTCCTTCCCTATATACTGGTAAACATTTGGGATTTTTTTTTCTTCTTCAGTCACCCCTAAAAGTTGTATATATTTTTTTTTCTTTCTTTCTTTTTTACAGCTCTGTAGCCATCTTTGTGGTCAATGTTTGGATCCGCTTGGCATTGCAATGTTTGCACAAAATATGGTCGTCCAATGGGTAACATCCTCGACCTTCGGTTTCAGATGATAATAACAAGCCACAATCCTAAGAAAAAAAAGAATGTAATTAAAAACAAAAATAGCAAAATAAAACATAAAAAGATAACAAGGTTATAATAATCAAAGAATTTTTAATGACAAGGCTACAAATAATTTTAATTTCCACACCATAAATACTGTATAGCTATTTAAAAATAAAATCACTTAAAAGTCTTTCAACAGCAGCAACAACAACTTGAATGGGTAACACATGTATCTAGAAGGGAAAATAATAATATAATCAAGGTGTTGGCTTTCCACACAACCTTGAATAAAAGCTTAGGAAGGAAATAGCCATCAGAATTAGAAAGAGAGTTAATAGTGAACTTAATTTTATGAACTGTTGTAAGAGAAAGATTTTATAAATTTCACCTGACAGTAACACAAACTAATCTGTCAATGAATATTGAATGATTCTAGTAGGGAGATGGTTAATCTCATAGTCACCATATTTACTAAACAGAATCTCATAGTCACCATATTTACTAAACAGAATCTCATAGTCACCATATTTACTAAACAGAATCTCATAGTCACCATATTTACTAAACAGAATCTCATAGTCACCATATTTACTAAACAGAACTAAGTCTGACACAATTGCTGAGCATCTGCAGGGAATTGTACAATCTGTATGGAAGAAAAAAATGGGGAGGGAGTCTCGTTTTCAGGTAGTGTTTACTAAAGCCCTTTTTTGGGGGAGGTGAATTTTCATTGAAAACTGTAAAACAGAAGAAATATACTGATCAATCTCAGCTTACGCCATATCATGTGGAAACACCAGTTCTCATACGATAACTGAAGTTAAGCAAAGTCAAGTTTGGTCAGTAACTAGATGGGTGACCACTTGGGAATACCAGGTGCTGTAAGCTTGGATGTGTGGAGGGATGTAACAGATAACAGCTTGGAATTTGAAATCGGAGAGCAGAGTTCCAATTGCAGTTAGATTTGTTATATTCACTTATGCACATGAATTCACCTCTTCTCCCCCAGCAATGGGTTAATTAGTAGAACTAGTATCAATAAATCATTATTATCTCCAAGAAATCTTTACAATCTAAAAATATTTTTGAGCTTTAAATATCCCAATCTTTTCCCAGAGTATGTAACTATATTTTAGATGCAGAAGGAGAAGGAAAACTCTGAATTCAAACCAGCCTGGAGAGGATTGGGCTCTGTCAGGCTATCTTGCCCAATAAACACTACTTCTACTGTGGCGCCCTATGACCCATGGGTCATGGGATTCATTACATTCATTTCATTGTGTGTGTGTGTATATATATATATATATATATATACACACACACTATTTACACTGTTGCCATATTTATCACAACGTTTTGGCCATAGTACACTCTGGCCTTCTTCAGGTGGTTGGAATGTCGATCTGAACCCTTTATTTCGTTCACTGGGGTAGATTGTTCTAGACTGTTCTAGTTCCATGTGCCATGTCTAATGGATGTCAGTTATCAGTTATCTCCTGTTAATTCCCTTTCCAAGTTCTCCACTACCTTAACCAGGTATTGAACTCACACTCTTTGGGTCCTGTCATTTCCGATCTAACTAACTAACTAATGCCTTTATCCACTGTGCCATCTGTCCTTGAGGACATCTGTGTATGAATTTCTGGGACTTGTAAACCTAATGTCTTCAGCAACCATTTTTACCAGTGCTCATATTGCAATTTTTGCTGTTATCATTGCATGTTTTTTTACCAGAGCTCATATTGCAATTTTTATTGTTATTATTGCTTTTTTCTGGCACTCTTTATTACTGGTTCCTATATTGCATTCATTTCTATGCTTGGTTGGCTCAGGAGATTTTTGTGGCTGAGAATATGTGCTGATTCCTTAAGTTTACTTATTTTCCAGTGATATTCTTTGACTATGATTTCAACCTGATCCCACAGAGGGCAGTGATCACCCTTTTCTCTCCATATGTGGTCAGCCACGCCAGATTTTTCCACTTCCCCTCATGTTACATGACATGGTGTATATGAGTGAAGAACATTTGTATCATTGCTATGACCCATCAATGTTCAATTGACTTCACACAACAAATCTCTCAGAGTGAATTACCAGAGTTCTACAGTTAATGCAGTGTTGAAAACCACCGAGAGAGAGAGATTCATTCTTAGTGGATGTTCAAGAAATGTGATGTTGTATTCTGATTTATACTCATCATGGATACTCACCTCACAACAATAGCACTGAACGTGGAAGCTCTTATCCATTGCGACAACACGGACAGTTTCTTCCTTGCCAGGATCAGGCATGATTGGAAGTTGACAAACGCAGCAGCGGGGAGCAAATTTTCTAAAAAGGTCAAAGAAAAGAAATTAGATTTTTAATTCTAACAATTCCAACGTTTTTTTTTAATTTAATTTTCATTAAAGAACTAAACAATTGAAATAGTACGTGAATCTCGAAAACAAAATATTGTAATTATTCCAGGAATTATCCTTATTCAGAATAGACAATGTTTTGCCTGGTGGCATTTCAACTGAAATATTATGGATAAAACAACCAAGATAAGGATATGCATTCAAAGAATTCATGGGAAGGAAAATTAAATTTGAAATCTGCTTTAAACCTTGAAGCTTTCAAGCTATTTTGTAATTGACATTTTACTCATGTCAGTAGTTTGTCAAATAGAACAAGAAGGATATCCTAAAATTCATTATATAACCTTTTGCATCTCTCCCCAACCCCACAATATAAACAAAAACTATATAAATTTTGATTGATTGATTGTTTTGTTTCTTTAATGGCATATCAACTCATGGGTCATTTAGTGCCGAATATATATATTATTCTGCTTCCACAATTGAATACATGGTAGATGATACTCAGCTTTTGTGCATATACATGCTTGTGTGGGCATAACTGGTTTGGTTTGGTTGATTTTGTTTAGCATATCAACACCTCTATGGGTAATTAATGCCGAAATCAAAATATTTCGAACACAATTTTATGGCTTCAACTACAAGTAAAATGTATTGTTCATTTTGTTTTGAAATTGCATTGTTAGTAATTTTGCAATAAATAGGTATTGATTATAATTTTACAGTAAATATGCACAGGGTGCGATGGCTAAGTTGTCGCCATGTTATATTTTTCATTTTTCACATGCATGTTGTTTGTTTTTGATATTGTCGACTCCACGGTATAGTAGGGTCAGTTGGGCACCTTCTGTGAGAAAAAGAACACCATGACACAATTCATTCTACCAGAAATTTGGAAATGTCATGCTGTACTGTTTGGCATTCATGCCAGAAGCTTCACCATGAACATTCCAGTGTGTTCAGGTGTCAATCTGAGGACAGTGGAGAGGATTCGGAAAGAGTTGGATTAGTCTAATGGCAATTACAAAGATACAGCAGTTCGAATGATCAATTCTGATAAGAAAAGAACTTCCGAATTTGTTGGTGAAGGCCTCAGACCCAACACAGTGGCCTATATCAATAACAACAGGATGCTGCACCATGTCACACAAGCAAGAGAACCCAGTCATGGCTGTCAGACAATTTCTACGACCACATCACCCCTTACATGTAACCGCCTAACTCCCCAGATTGCAATCCCCTAAATTATTGTGTGGGGCAGAGTTGAGCAAGAGACTGACAGAACTCCAAAGATGAACTGAAAGATTATGGCAGTATTCATCAACTTAAACAAGGAAACCGTCCAGAAGAGTTGCAGGAGATTCTGATGTGATCTGGATGCCATGGTTGAAGCCAATGGCGATTTCATTGAATGAATTTAAATTCTAGTATTGCAAGATATTTTTGTGTAATTTTGATAAATATATCTGTTTAGATGAGATGTCAGTGATATTTTCATTTTTGCATAATTCAGACGACAATTTATCCATCGCATCGTGTATCATTTCACTACAAATAGTATTGATGTTAATTTTTAATAGAAAAATATATTGCTGATATATTATAAAATCATAAAAGAATAAAATTTGTTATACTTTCATAGCGATTTGTTTTAGTTTAGGGTTCACTATTTGTCCATAGTCAGGACACTAACAGGTGCTACCACCCCAGGTTAGAAAAGACCTGGGCACAACAGCATTTAAGAGGTTGTTCCATGCTCCTCAAAACCTCCTGATGAGAGGCCTGGCTGTTGGACTATATTTTTGTTATTCTCAAGAAAATACGAGAACAACTCCAAAATAAACACTTATTTGCAGACTTAAAGCTGAAAGCAATGTTTTTCTTCTACCTTAAATTAGTGGTTCCCAAATGGTTCAATGCACCTCATAGGTGAAGGGGAAAAGGATAGCAGGTGAGGCAGAATGATTGAAAGGCAATCAAAAGTTTAGAAATAATTTTAAAATATTATTATAGATTACCTTTAATTGCATGCATGAGTCCCATTATAAATAGTTATGATTAATTATTGACATTTCTATCATTGTGATATTTTTGCATTATATCAAGTATTAAGAATATAGTTACTAAAGTCTGCAAATTGGAGGTGAGAGTTATCAATGATAATCTTCTGATTTTAAATTTGTGGTTATCTCCCTTTAACCCTCTCAGTTTTTATTTTTTTTTATTTTTAAATGTATTTTTTATCACATAAAATTTGTTGAGGCACAAGCAAATTTTCATTCCGAAAATGCAGCCCTGAGAAAAAAAATGTTTGGGAACCACTGCCTTAAATAATAAAGACAGTGGTTAACAGTGATGCAATTTTTTTTTTCATTAGTGAACTGAAATAATAAACCTCAAAATTCTCCAAATTTTTTCATGTAGCTACATTACATTCTGGAATTTATAAATATTAATATCTTGAGTGCCAATGCGTAATTTTTTTTACAGACATGTTGACAAGTGTAGAATAATGGTAATTTGTCAGAGAATAAATAGAATTGCTGGGCAGCAAGTATTAATGATAGCAGTGTATCTTACTTATTATAAAACGCAGACTGTGTGTGTGTGTGTGTGTGTGTGTGTGTGTGTGTGTGTCTGTACGTTTATATATTGGATCGATTTCCTACATTTTTTTTCAACAAAACTTCACAGGACTACATAAAATTACCTTGTGGTGGTTCTAACGGCGCTTAAATGGGAAAACACAATTGTTTTTAAGAAAATCAATTTGAAAACACGATTAAGACACATCGAGAATGAAAGGGGACAACTCAGATCGGGTTAAGAAAACCCAGGTTGTTTGTGTGTGTGTGTGTGTGTTCCTTTATATATGGGATCGGATTTTCATTTTTTTTCAATGAAAACAAACATCCACTTTCTTTTTTGGCAGGTAGTGTTTCTTATTGTCTTGCACACTTTTTTTTTTATTTATACATTCAGAATGCTTTAAAAATTCCATTTACAAGATAATTGTTTATAATAAAATTTAATTCTATTCAATCGAGACTCATCATAACGATTGAAAACAATGTTTTTGTTTGAGTTTGGCTTTGACCAATTCGTAAAAAAAAAAAAAAACTAATTAAGACATGACAACCTTAAACAATAATCTAATGATCTCTACTGATTGAATCTTTAGGGAAAGATAATTCCATCGCATTTCAAAACAATTCCCTTTGCAATTTGTTACAAGGCAGATCAATAAGGCATTGGTTCTATTTGAAAATTCAATATTTAAAAGAAAGTATTAAGAAATAATTTAAAAATGCCGACGTAAGAAATCTGATAGACAAAAAACAACAATATTTCAAGATGATAATTATTAAGGAAAGAACACAGTACTTGTAATAAATTAATAAACCCAAATAAAGTTAATATTTTTTTGTATTAGAAACAACGAGTGGAAAATATATTCATATCAGAATTCTAATTATGAATCACCACAAGCAAAATATGCAATTTTCTTTACTGTATTCAATAAGTAAAAATCATAAATTGTAAAACTACAAGATTACAGAAAGGCTACCTACATTTTTCAACCGATTTCAACAAAACTTCACTTTTTTTTTTTTTGGCAGGTAGTGTTTCTTATTGTCTTGCACACTTTTTTCTTTATTTTTACATTCAGAATGCTTTAAAAATTCCATTTACAAGACAATTGTTTATAATAAAATTCTATTCATCAATCGATAGACTCATAACGATTGAAAACAATGTTTTTGTTTGATTTTGGGTTTGACCAATTCGTAAAAAAAAAAAAAAAAAAAAACACTAATTAAGACATGCGTGTCCGTCAACCTTAAACAATAATCTTTGTCAATTTTATTTTTCAGTCTTTATGATGGTGGATACTTGATCTATCTCTTACTGTTATATCCCCGGGCAACGCCGGGCTCTACTGCTAGTAGAGGATAAAATGAAAACAAAGCACACATTTAAAAAATGGGACATGAACTGTCTTTTGGTGCAGAGAAAAATCAATGTACCATGTGGCAAGTTGAATAGCCAACTATTTACATTATTTGGACTATTGTCCTCATCTTTGTTGGTGGTTGGAATGTCAAATTGAACCCTTTATTTCACTCACTGGGGTAGACTGTTCTAGTTCCACATGCCATGTCAAAATGGATGTCAGTTATCAGTTATCTCCTGTTAATTCCCCTCTCCAAGTTCTCCACTGCCTTAAACGAGTATTGAACTCACACTCTTTGGGTCCTGTCACGGGATTTAACCAACGCTTTTATCCACTGTGCCATGTGTCCTGAAGAAGGCCAAAGCATACAACGGCTGAAACGTTGTAATAAATATGGCAACAAAGATGAGGACAATAATCTGAATAATGTAAATAGTGTATATAATACCTCATCACAGAAATATAGACAGATACTGAAGGGCCGAAACGTTGTAATAAATATGGCAACAAAGATGAGGACAATAATCTGAATAATGTAAATAGTGTATATAATACCTCATCTCAGAAATATAGACAGATACCGTGTGGCAAGTTGAATAGCCAAGTAATCATTTCAAACCCCTTTTTTCTAAAAATTTCAATAACTTTTAAATTCTTCTAAATGAAAAGGTAACTCATAAAATTCTTTAATGACAAATAATCGATTATTATTTTCACCTGCCAATTTAATGGTTTCTCTTTCTAAAAACTACCATTCTGTGAAAGTAGAGGTCTTCAGATAAATTTTGAAAAACTGTGTAGCTACAATAAAAACTGAAGATTTTTGTGCAATTTCAGTGTACATTTTTTCGAAAGCTTATTCTATATAAGTTGCTTTTAGGTTGGACATCGTTATGAAAAGATGATTTATTTGTACTTACTTGTGAAAGTCTTCAATACAATGAATTTGGTTTGTAGCATCAACAGTAAATGGCACTCCATCCAGACTCATGCCACAGACAACACACGTGAAGCAGGCTGGGTGATAAGGCTTGCCAGTTGCACGTAATAACTGGTAAGAAAAGAAAGAACAAACATCTCAATTGTTATTAAGAAGTTTAATCTTGAAGGCTTAACCTTCAAAATTATGAACAGCCATCAAATACATTTTCAAATTAAAATCTTCTTACAAAGACCCAAGCATTTTATTAGGATACATGAATGAACATTAAGCATTTTTTTTTTTTTTTTAAATATTCTCATTTTAATTAAAATGCAAAGAAATCTTTTTTTTTTAAATATATAAAGATTTTAAATTGTTTTATGTCTTTTTATGTGAACAAGAAATTGGCAAATAGATTGATTATTTTTTCTTTTTAATGCCTTGGTTCTAACCTCCAGGAGAGTGACTCATTACACCTTTTCAGGCTAACGTTATTCACTGACATGAAGTGGAAGATTATATTGAATCAATTGATAGACTTGCTGCTAATGTTGATTCACCGTGTCATGCTAGATAAATTTTATTGTCAGAATCTATCTTACACATTTATGAGCCATGCATTGAATATTGCTTGCCACATCTGGTCTGGTGCTTCAGTTATTTTTTTAGAGATTTTTGATAAAATCCAAAGAAGAATTTGCAATGTTATCAGTCCTGACCTGACATCTTGACTTCAATCATTTTCCTCACTACTGTAAGATAGCTTCCCTGTGCCTTTCTTTTCATGATACTGAGACTTTATTAATTTAAGTGCAGTACTAGATTGGCAGCTAGGTCACAGTTGAAATTAGTAGATGTAACCATAAGGTCTATGTTAAGTTTTTCTCGCACTTCTCACTTGTAGAACTCTATTCTGGCCTCTTGTTTTGCCGTCAAGTTTGATCTTCAAAAATTTAAATGCAACGTCAATTGTTATCTTCTGTCTTCTTAATTTCTCTTCTTTTATTGTTCTTTCTCAACTTCTTTCACACTCTATAACCCTCTTGTGTCTTAGTGGCTTTATAGCTTTGCTTGGGGTGAAATGATTAAAAACAAAAAAAAAAAACATGTTAATTCACGACATTAAGGCAATCATGACTTGCTACAGATTCCATCTTTTTATGTGTGAATTTCCTTGCATTCATGGTAAAAACAGCAGAGTGGTTTCCTGTTGCCTTCTCCACAGTTTGGAATTCAAAATATTCTTTCTTCATTCAAGATATCAGTAATCATGGCTCTCCACACATTTCTTTATTATCTGTGAATTGTCATGCCTTCTTGGGAAAGATAATAAAGTGGCTTTCTGTTGTTTTCTCTCTTGTCTAGAATTTAGAATTGTGACACAAGTCTATCCTGCTATCTGAGCCATAGCTGGATGTGGGTGTAGGGGGATGGGAGAAGAGAAGAGATGGATTCAGGCATTTTTGAAGGGCATTAATGTGAAAGTGAATGCAACAGACTAATCCAGAATTTGAAATTGGGCTCACAGATTCCACTGTCTGCGTTTGATATTCATTACTTTTTTCAAATCATCAAAACCATTTAAATAATCAAATGCAATAAACGTAGGATGACTTGTTGCCCATTCCAATGGAAGGTGAGAACTTCTTTCAAGAAGGAACAGTGTGTGTATATATATATATATATATATATATATATATATATATATATATATATATTAATAATATTATTTGATAATTCAGGATAATTCCAAAGAGGATATAAATCCAAAGAGAGCTCAATGTAAGAACAGAGCAAATATAATAATGATGAGACTTTAGAAACCTATGGTAATATTTTATTTTACAAGACCGATTAATATTACAATGGGTTTCTAAAGTCTCCACTTCCATCATTAATATATATATATATATATATATATATATATAAAATAAATGGATATTATGTGAGTAAGGAATTATATAGATCCAACCCCCCACCATCACCCACTCATTTTATTACTGATCCAGCATCAAATAAAGTCCAAGATGGAAGATCAGTTGCAGTGAATAGACAAACCCATCTCCAATGCAAGTAATGTCCTTCTCACACATCACACGTTAATGGGCCTGTTATGTTGCCCTACAATGTATTGGCATAAGTTTTGAATTTAGAGTTGTCCTTCTCCTAGATTAGTTGTCCCACCAGTACATTTTATTTTACATTTAAGAAGGAGAAGAGGTTCATACATGTCTTTTCAAAATCATATCTCAACCTTAAATTCTTCTATTATTGTTTGTTAATGGATTTCATTGATTTTGAAGTTATCATCTTTTTAAAGAATTCTATCATAAGCAAGATTACACAAATCAAAACTCATGAGTGAGAGAGAGAAAAAATATGTACATGTGACCATACATATATTCTTGAGGTCTGTCAAAACCTGCAATTTATATATACCTTGCTTTGGTATTTTAATGAAAAGTCCTATGACAAATCAAGAACAAAATATCAATAAGTCACAATGTAAAAATTTACTTACTCGATCAATAACTGGGTTGGAACAAACAGAACATTTTTCCAACGTATTCTGAAAAGCAAAAACAAATGAAAATAATCAAAATTTTGATATTGTAAGCATTCTGGGATTGCAAAGGAAATATTTGTCATAGATTACTTCTACCACGCAGAGAACAAATCACTGTAAGTTCAGACTTGTACATCAGGGTCAGAAAGAAATGCTGAAAACTCGATTCACAGGTATTATCTCACAAATCACAATGCACGCAACCAGTCAGAAAAATAACTCGCTCTCCGACGAAGGTAGTAGCCAAAATACACAAATTTTTCTTTCTCACTCTGATTCAAGAACACCAACTGCTTAGCATCTTTTTCCATTCGTTGACAACTAGGAAAGGACGCCCAATCTTTGCATATCAAAATACTTTTACAGCAACTCCTGCAACGGACTTGTTTTTTAATTTAAATTTTCCGTGTTCAGCATGTCATGCAGAATACGTGCCCTTTTTTGGGGGGGCTAAGTAATTTTGTTTTTAGCCATATTTTCCATTGTAGGATACACGCAATGCGCTGTCACTTGGTTTGACGAGGTAAGTCGTCATTTTCTTTGCTATAGATATTTAACAAAATAAATCAAAATAATTGCACCCCCCCCATCATCATTTTTTAATTAAAAAAACACTTTTAAAAAAGTAAGCAGTTCTACAAAAGTGTTGAGGAGTAAAGAGACTACCCCCCCACCCACCAGTGACTCTATGAACCCATCCAATACAATATAGAGTTCCATGGTAGAAGGTTGTTGGTAGTTGTATTGGAATCTGTCTTCATACAGGTTACAGAAATAGCCAAAGCATTATGTATAGAGAATTACATTATACCAAGTGCGTGTGTGCATGCGTGTGTGTGTTCTAACAACCTTACAATAGGAATAATAGTAGCAGCAATAAACAGGATTTTGAATTTCAAATTTTTCCCCCCAATCTGGAAGTAGGAAATGAAAGATGATAAACCAATTAAACTTTAAATTAGCAACTTTTTCCATTGACAAAAATTCTCTCATTTTATTTTCCAAATTTTTTTGAGTTTCAGTTCAATAGACTCCCCCCCCCCACTTTATAACTTTATTTTTAAATTGAATAGTTATCAGTTATCTGAAAACAAGAACCAAGAAATAAAAAATAAAATTTTGTGAATAATTCAAATTTACAACCAGAATGGAAGACATACATGTGTGGCCAATATAAGTACCTAATGACATTACCTAAGTTTCAAAACAATTCTGAAAAGTACTTTACGAAAAATCAATGTTATGTTTAGTACGACCGATTGATTTGGTGTACTATTAGTCATTTCAATTACAATCATATTTCTAAAAACAATTAATGATAAAATGAAACTTTCAGTTTAAATGTCCTTTGGGAGATTGTATCTCTGATGAAAAAGTAAATACATATGTTGGCTTGACAACCACAACATTATCAAAACATCTTGCACTCCATTTGTCAGATACAAGTTTTATTGATTCCTGTTCACCTTCACAATACAGGAAAATAATTGTTGACAAACTCTTGAGGCCTTCTATATCAAAAGCAAGCAACTAACACTGAACAAAATTTATTACACGTGTAATAGCAATGTTTTAAAATGCATTTGATTAACATTTAATGCCATTTTGCATTTTTACCATCTCTGATTAGCTCCCTTACATTGTGGATGCTTGTTTTCAAAAATCATTGTAGCTACAATGGATAAATTTAAAATATAATTATAACAGAGTGCATTCATGCATGTTGACAAAATTAACATCACAACAACCACAGTAACAATAAGGTTGTCTTCACAATTCATCTCTGAGGATGATCTTGGAGGAGATCAAAAGTACTTGAGATAACAAAAAACTATGGTGCCTTACTTGTTGAATTTCAACTGATCAAGAAGCTAATTAGAGAACAAGAAAGGATTATTATAAAAAAAATAGATATAATATGTCTATATTATTCAATGAGACATGCTTGAATGAAGATAAGCTGCCTATAAACCTTCAACCGCAGCCTCCAGACAACTTTGGAATCTCCTGCAACTCTTCTGAATGGTTTGCTTGTTCAAGTTGGTGAATGCTGCCATAATCCTTGCCTTCAGTCCATCATTACAAGGAGTTTTGTTGGTCTCTTGCTCAACTGCACCCCACACATAATAATCAAGAGGATTGCAGTCTGGGAAGTTAGATGGCCAGATGTAAGGGGTGATGTACTTGCAGAAATTGTCTGACAGCCATTACTGGGTTTTTCTGCTTCTGTAGCATGGTGCAGAGTTCTATTGCCAGATGTAGAGTCTTCCAGCAGTCACCCTCTTGACTCAGAGCAGACACTACCTTCTCAAGTCACTTGATGTAGGCCACAAGGTTGAACTTGAAGCCCCCATTAACAAATTCAGAAGTTCTTATCAGAATGATCAGAGTGAATTTTCAAAGCTGTCATACCTTCATAATCACCATTAGACTCCTTCAACTCTTTCTGAATCCTCTGCATTGTCCTCAAATTGACAATGTTCGTATTGGAGCTTGTGGCACGAATGCCAAGCAGTACAGAATGCTATTTCCACATTTCTGGTACAGTGAATTGTGTCATGGTGTTCTTTTTCTCACAGAGTGCTCAACTGACCTTGCAGTTGACAAAATCAAAAGTGATGCACATGCTCAAAATTAAAAATATAAAATGACGACTATTTGCCCAACTGAAACTGAGATATTTAGAAAAGGCATGGTACATGAAACTAGAACAATCTACTCTGGTGGACAAAATAAAAGGTTTGGTTTGAAATTCCAGTCTATAACACCTGAAGAAAGGCAGAGTGTACAACAGTCAAAATGTCATGGATGTGACAATAAAGATGAGGACAACAGTTCAAATAATGTAAATAGTTAGAATACCTCATCTCAGAAATATAGACTGTGAATATGGCAATAAAGATGAGGACACTACATCAGATGCCATGATTTATAAATAAAATGCCTACAATATAGGAAAAGTTACATTGGTGAAACATCTAGGAATCTGCAACTACAAACTTAAGAGAGACTAATGTTGGGACAACCCTTTGAAACTTGTTCATAATAGACAGTAACAAAATGGGCAATAACTTCAATTTTATAAAAAAAAAAATTGGTTTTTTTTTTTTTTTTTTACTCAGGAAATACTTTGAGGGCATTCTAATAAATATTTTTACCCTCTATAAATGGACATCAAATACCCTTTATTATATTACCAACTTTTATAAAATCCATACTTAACAAATCTAGGATATGTGTACCTGCTACCACAACTGGTGTAATTTAAATTCTTTCATCCTCACACAAAACATAGCTAAATCAACATGTTGACAGCCACCAAACATTGATAAAAATGCCTACTAGATGCCCGCAGAAATAAATATAAATTATAATACCTACCATATAGATAAACTAGAATTATGATACACATACACACATGAATTATAAACATGAATGCTGCTTGACAAGACTGATGCACTTAAAGTCTGCTTAACCAATGATAAGTAGATAACACAAAAATGAAATAACAAAATTTCCTTTTTCTTCTCTATATCAAATTCTCCAATGAAGTTTTAATAAAAATGAAAATTGTTAGATTGATAAATGTTTCCTATTTGCTCTTTATTCTATCATTCTCTCAGATTCCAATCCATAGTTGATTCCAATTCTAACTCCTGCGTGTATGAATTTTTAATATAGAATTTATATGTACATATTTAGTACAAGTTGTTGGGCATCTTACTTGAAAAGAAAGCAAACAGCTTCAGGTTACCCACACTTCCCCAAAATAAGTTCTTAAAAAACAAAAGATTAAATTGTACACCAATGATTTACTAAATCATAGGATCATGACTTTTTGCAACAAAACAAAATACACACACACACACACACACAAAAAAAAAAAAAAAAAAAAAAAGAAGAAGCTCTTTGTTCAAACTCTCATTGTGGCATATAAGGATCATTTTTCATGGATAAGTCTGTAACAGTTTGTGTGAAATTATTTGCATTTTAAGAATGGAACAATCTCAGCATATTAATATCAAATTGTATTAAATTACTATTGAACAAAAGCAAATGAAAGATTTGTCCAAAGAAAGAAAAATAAAATCACTACTTACCACATAACAAGGCTCACAGTAAGGTTTTGTTTCAATGGCATAAAAGGATTTCCCACGAAGAATGTTTCCTGAAAAGCAGAGGTAAAATGAAAATTAAAAAAACTTGCTTTGTTTATTTCTATAAATAACTGCTTTGTTTATTTCTATAAAGGGTGTATGTGTATCTAGATAAATTACATTATTTGTATAAGCGTTATAAAAATTTAGTCAATACACCTGTTTGAGTAGACATCTCTAATTGTTAAACATTTTAAATTATCATCTACTGGCCAAGGTTTTCAAAAGTATTTAATAAAGAAAATGTGCTTCTTGGTAGAGACAACTCTGTATTATTTGACTTTCAAAAATTTGTTATGAAGTTTCATCCATAGCAGAAAATGTTTAATTTATAAACATTATATGACTTATTCTTTATCTGAATATACAACAAAGATGTTTTTTTTTTGTTTTTTTTTTATTAAAAAAAGATTTGAGTAAGGGCTTAATGAGCATACATTTAATTATATATATTTGCAGGGTTGTACAAAAAATGTATACTGTATCATTAGATGGCATGAGGAGCATTTAGTTTCAACTAACTACAATCACAATCAAAATAAATTTATTTAAATTTTTAAAATTCATCAAAATTGAACATTTTTTGTTCATTGATTCTAACACTGAAAATGGAAAATTAAAAAAAAAAAAAAAGAGAAAAGAAAGGAAAAAAGTGAATCAAAAAGTGTACAAAGTTTTGTGTTAGAAACTTTTCATTGAACAAATGGATTAAACATTTGGGATAAGCAGTGATCAAATCAAAATGTCAGTTAAGAATAATTAATTTCAGATGATATAGGAAACTTACTCAAAATATCCAAATGAAATGTTGAAAAATCAATTGCAATCATATTTGTTTATGTTAGTCATTTTGATGTGTGGCTGCCACATCAGCGAAATGCCAATAGGATTGTATTTAGATGTCTTTTTCTTTCTTTTTTAAATAAACTGTAACAGGTGACCAAAATTGGATACTTTACAAAAAAAATAAAAACATGGAATGAAAAAGCTCACGAGGCAAACAAAATGAAAACTCAAGTCCTGTTCTCAAATCAAGTGAAGGCAGCAACCAAAAGCATTTTGAGCTAGAGAAAAACCGAAATATTTAATCAGAAGAATGCTATATTGCATGTTTGTTTGGTGAGCAACTAAAAGTTATTACAGCTTGGTTGGCAGGCTTTCCTTTATCAACCAGATAATCTTGCATTTTCAGATTATCATGCATCCTGTTGTTTTAAAGACACAATTCATTTAATAGAAAAAGTGTCAAAGCCTTGAAAGACTACAAGCAGTATATCCCAAACAGTTCTCTGCTCTAAAAGTTTTTTTTTTTTTTTTTTTTTACTTAATAACCCCGCAAATTTTTTGTGTTTCCCAGAAATAGAAATAGAAATTATTTATAATTCTACTGGTAGAATTATAAATAATTTCTATTTCTGGGAACCAACTGTAATGGTGAACCTAACCTTATTAACAGTTCCTTCAATAATCATAAGAAATGATGAAAAATGTGTTGCATATTACAAGGTTCAACTCAAAAGAAGACTGACAAGGACAAATCTCCACGGACAGCCATAAAAGGTGAGCTACATAAAAGAAAGGTAATGTTGTGTATGTAGTGCGATCAGCAGGGGTTTATTTAGAGTTCTTAAAAATGCAACAAATGCACATTTATACATCCAGCAGCTGCAACATGAGCATAAAAAATTAGCCACAAAGTACATTGTGTCCATCAATAGAAAAAAAATATTTCCTTTCATGACAATACAAGGACACATACAGTAAGAATAATGCAAAAAAAATGTTGGCCTGTTTTATCCGAGCCACCATATTCACTTGACCATCCACCAACCAGTTATTACCTTTTTATATTTTATTTTTATCACTGCAAAACACTTCTTTAATGAAAACCAGATTCAAGAGGGCATCAAAAACTTTTTTCATATCAAAGCCTGTGGAATTTTATTTATAATTGAAGAGTAGTCTGATAAATGGTAACAAATATTTGCAAATAATGGTGAATGTATAATGGAATAAAATGCAATCTTTTTTAAGAATAAATTTGAGAAATAGAAATGGAAATTATTCATGACTCAACCTAATAGATGTGTAAATAGATGCAGATGGATAAAAATTCAATATATGTTAATATAGTAAAGGGGGTGCGAAATGCCAGTCATAATGCAGTGTTAATTCCTATGACCTTGTTCTTTGTTTCAGTATAAAATATTTCAAGATAAGCACAGAATAATAATGCTTCATTGAAAAGCAAAGCTTGAATTCAAATCAAGTTCATTACATTCACTTATATGCTTGGGAAAGGTATGGATCCATTTCTTCTCAAGCTATGGCTAAATAACAGAACAGACTGGGTCCTATAGCCTTGGGTGTTGAACAGTCTAGGAGAAGGACAACTCTGAATTCAAAAGCTGCAGAGGGTCATTTGGGGACCTTGTGCCATACTGTACACCAGTGTGGTTGGTTCTACACAAGCCATCATCACTATAATCAAAATGATATGTGCGGGTATACAAGCTGTTGATTCTAAACTCTAAGCTGTTTGACCCTCATATGAAGAGTCCAGTGTATGTGTATATATATATATATATGTTAAACCTAAAGAGCCAGACAACCTAAGCAGATCGTCAGCAGTCCCTGACGATCCGCTTAGGGGAAACCGTGGTAGGTTGTCTGGATCTTTAGGTTTAACTTAGGTTTGTTCTACTTAGCGTATTGAGCACGTTATTTATTTAGTTCATTTTCTTACTCATATCAGGTGTTTTTTCTTTGAACTTGAATGCTAGACGATTATTTTCAGCTAACATACATGTTCTCCGTTCTTTCTTTTTTTTGTACCATTTTTTCCCTTTGGCATAGGTTTATTTATTCACAAATCAAGGCACCTAAGGTTTTCTGGACGAGTACAATTTCTTATATTTATAAGATTGCAACTAGTATATATATCTCCAGGTATAGGATTGGTGTATACGGAATGAATTCCAATAACCAACAAATACTATTCTTAAAAGAGTGCTCAATACAGAGTAGAGCAAATATAATTATTTATTCGAAAATTATAAAATAAATATGTTATAAAATCACAACAAAAATAGCCATTTTGTTTCAACACTTCTGGTGTCTTATCAAGTGATGATGTTGATTATATATATATATATATATATATATATATATATATATATATATATATATTCATCTCAGATGAAATAAAAATCAAAGTCAAATTGTAACTAAAGGTTTCATGTAACAAGCAATCATCAGGAACCATTTACAATATATTCCCATACCATGCATTAAACTCTTGGTTGTATATCTTATACATCCTGAGTTGATTGTATACTGTGCCTAAAGGAGAAGTTATAAACCTTGAAATTTAAGAAACAAAACAGACTCCTTAACAAGGCAAAATAAGTTACAATCAAAATGTCAATATATTAATAAGTAGATCTTATGCTATTAGCTTCCTGTTTGACAAGTGGTCAATTGAAGACAAACATTTGCATAATGGTTACACTTATACTTGGATGAAATGAATGACTGAGAATATTATATTACAAGTAGTGACTAAAAATCACTTGTTGCATTAAACTTTTACTTGCAATTTTACAAGGGTTTTTTTTTTTATTTATTGCAATGTAGTCTTTACTGGAGAATAGCACTCGGAGAAATTTTTCATTTATTTCAATCCATAAGCTACTTATTAGTTTATTTGTATTATTTAATGTAGTAATTGTCTTCCTGTACTGATTTTATATATATATATATATATATATATATATATATACATACATATACATACTCAACTCTCCCATCAAATACGACGTATGAGGGTCAAGCAGATCAGTTCCTAGGAAACCGACAGCCCAACAACAGCACATGAGGTTTGATTATAATGGTGAAGGTTTCGTGCAGGACCATCCACACTTTTTGAATTGCCGAATATAGAGACCTGGTGCACTACGTGCCACAGGGTCCCCAAATGACCATCCGCAGGTTTTGAATTCAGAGTTGTCCTTCTCCTAGACCAGTTGCCATTCAAGGCTATAGATACCAGTCTGTCCTGCTATATACCCATAGCTGGAGGGAGGAGAAGAAGAGGATTCATACCTTTCCCAAGGGTATTAGTACATAAGTGAATGTAATGGATTCGACTGGAATTCGAACTCAGCTCTCTGATCGCTCAATCCAAGCCGCTATCCATTACTTCACCGTGCCTCATATAAAGTGGACACTGAGGTCAACACCAAGTGGCAACAGTCTGTTTCATGTTTGAACACAATCTTCAGGCCATGTGTATTGTGCTTTGACTCAACTATTTATATATGCTGGTCAATGGTGCATTATGGGTAACAGGGTTTATTGTATTATCCTAATGGTTAGTGGGTAGGCAGTAACTAAACTGCTAAGATAACCAAGTCTCGAGAAAACGTAAGTTAAATAAACAAGTAAATAATAAACAAATTAACAAACTATGAATGCTTTTATAAACTGAAGTAAATATAAAAATAATAATAATAACCACCAACAAATAATTAATCATTAGTAAATAATGAGTAAAAATTTAACAAGACTATAAAATAACTACAAATAACTGCATTCAGATCAAAAATTATTCTGATATAATAGCCTCTAGAATAATTTGAAACAACTTACCAAATAACTGTTAGGATGATACAATAGGCCTCATTACCCATAAAGCACCACTGACCAACATAATCAAGCCAAAACACAATGCACAAGCTTAAAGGAGGAGTTCAAGCATGAAGCAAACTGTCACCACTTGGTGTTGACTTCAATGTCCATTTTATATTTACATATGCTCTCTGTTATTGAGCATATTTACCCATAAATATAACATACCTTAAAACTATATATTTTATTTAAAAATTATAACATAAGTATGTTATAACATCACAATTTATTAATTTATTATTACATAATAAATTAAAGAGTAATTAGTTATCCTGATTTCCTATATAATCTAATATTAATTTTAAAAAATTGTATCTAGGGC